ATATCAATTAGAATGACTTTATTACCCACGGGGATGATTTATAATGTCCTCTAGCATAAAGTAATAATGATGTCTTTAGAGTGAACCAAGACATGTATAAACCATAGTTATATGGATGGATCTAGGACTCACACTTAATTGTAGCCCTAATCAAAGAACATGTAGTTCTTATGACACGGCCCTACTTGATACTCATTCTCATGAAGAGATCATTAAAGATAATGGGCACTGTAGCAAAGTATAGTGACGAAAATAGATGGTACCCATCTGTCAGAAAGAACGGTGTTTGGGGCCTTAAAGGCTTGTCATCACAATGAGTAGTGTAAGATATGAAAATAATGATAATTTATCATTTATCAGGGGCCCATGCGGGTGGAAGGGTGGAGGAGGGAGGGGAAGAAGAGGAGCTGATGCCAAGGGCTCAAACAGAAGAAAATATTTTGAAAATGATGATGGCTTGATACAATTGACGCATGGATTGTTATAAGAGCTTTAAGAGCTCCAATAAAATGATTTATTAAAAATAAAATAAAGGTTTGTCTTCAAATAAGCAGCCATCTAAGTGAGGTGTCAACAAAGTCTACATGGAAGAAGAACACCACTCTGTGTGATCCAAGGATTGTAGGTAGTAAAACTCAATTCTGGAGGAAGGAATGGTATCAGAGCTTAAAATCTGAACACCAGTTTGCAGAAGGCCGTGGATGACAATGTAAGCCCACTAACCATTTGCAGGGTTCCCACATAAATCTCCTCTGACTGTAGCTCAGGGATGCAAATATATAGTCTTGCTATCAGAGAGTATTGTAACGTCAATTATAGCAAATATAGTTAGGTTAAAATGTAACACCTTATTTGATCTCTCTTTTGATCCATTTTACTGGTTCATCTTTTCATATTTTCTGCTCTTTTCTTTTTTATTAATTGGATTAATACATATATCAAATCATTCCATAGTTTAATCACATTCGGCGGAATTGTGCATTTGCTCCCATGATCAGTTTCCAAGCATTCTTTTTCTCTATGGATCCCTTGACGTCATCACCCGTTTACCCCGCCACCACCTCTGTGTCTCCCGCCCCCCAAAACTCTTGTACCACTTGCTGACTCTATAGGTTCCTCGGTCCTTGTTTTTATACCCAAAATGCTGTCTTTTCATTTGAGGTTTTCTTGTGTTTTATTTTGTCGTTGTTGTTGGTTTGCTGTTTGTTTCTTGTTTTTGTTTTGTATGATTTTCTGTATTTGAAATCTGTGTTAGTCCGGGTTGACTAGAGAAACAATCCAGAGACACTCATCTATGTATAGATATAGATATACATACATATATATATGAAATAACTGTATATCCCAAAGTAATTGTATATTAAGAAAACATCCCAGCCCAATCCAGAGCAAGTCTGTAAGTCCCATATTAGCCCATAATTCCAATATTAGTCCATAAATCTCTCTTCAGACTCATGCAGCACTTGCAGTGATGCAAAATACAGGAAGATCACCGGCCAGTGGGTGCAAAATCTTGTGGATCCAGTGGCGATAGAAGAATCTCAGCACTGGCACAGGTCTCCACTTGGCTCCTCCAGCTGTCCGAGTGTGTCTCTTCAACAGGAAGGTGAAGCAGAGAGACAATATGACCCACATCCAGGGAGAAAGAGAGGGAGTTCCCAGAATCGTCATGAGAAGGCCACACCCACAAGAAGGCATCATCAATCTTGACAAGCTCGACAACTTGATTGACAAGCTAGACCCCACCCCTACACTTTTTTTATCAAGTTGACATGGCATGATGTAACTACCCCCAAATTCAGGATAGGTAAATCTATAGACAGTAGTTTGATGAATCATTACCTAGGGCTATGGCACTGGGGAGGTTAGGGAAAATGGGGAGCCAATAACAGTGGGTACAAGAAAGAAGACAATATCCTGAAAATTGATTGTGGTAATGACTACACAACTCTTTAATACGATTGAACTGTTGAGTTGTATGATATGTGAATTATATGTTAACAAAACTATGTACAAAAATAAGCTATAAGTCGGGGTGGGGTGGGGGGAGGGAGAGCAGGGGCAGAGTTCTGAACTCACTTTCATGTAGTCAATTCCAACTCATAGTGACCCAATGGGACGGAGCAAAGCTTGTCCCTGTGGGTTTGCAAGACGGGAACTGCTTACGGGAGTAGAAAGCCTCGTCTTTCTCCACAAGAGCCCCTGGCAGTTTCGAGGTGCTGACCTTGGGGTTAGCAGCCCAACGTGTAGCCTACAACACTATCGGAGTGATTTCTTATTGATAGAAAAAGATAAAACAAGCAGAGGGCCTTCCCCATGTGACGGCGGTGGGTCCTTGTGTGTGAGCTGAGGCATCCCCTGGGTTTGGCTCCTAGACCATCGCCCTTCATCCCTTTCTTAGCCTGAGAACACTGCATGGCACACATTTGGTTTTAAAAGTAAGATAAATTAAACTCAGCTTTAAAGAGGGAATTTGTAAATGAACTAGGGAGTAGTATTACAGTGAAACATTATACTGTCACTAAAGTGAAGGATTCCGTGACTGTGCAGGAACCTAGGAGAAAAATTCAAAGTGTCTCATTTAAAAATGAAAGCACAGCGCTTCCTCAGTGCTAACGATACCTCTAGATAAAGGCTAGGAAGGACTCTGCCGAGGAAGGCAAGACCTTCCTGTGACGGTGGCTTCATGGTGGAGTCAGAAAAATGCCTTCTGTCGCATTTTAAAAATTGGGTAAATAATAACATTTAAAAGTTGGATAAACAAAGCCTTACCATCATAACAGTGACTATTAAAAGTTATTTTTGAAATAAAAGCATTGGGTGATACCACGGCAGCCCTTCGGTCCTGCGAGGCACCTGTGGTAGCAGCGAAACACCAGGAACCTGCACCCAGCCCGTTGGCTGCACGTCCCGCGGTGGCAAGAAGCTGGGCTCCCTGGTCTAGAAGCTGGCTGAGGGGGGCTTTGGAAGGGCGCGGGCTCTGGGTGCGTTGACAGTGACAGAGGCCCAGCTGCTGCCGAGAAGGACATTCGAGTGATTTCCTTTCGCCTTCAGGTTTCTCATTGTCGGTCATTTCCAAGGGCAGCACGTAGGTGGTCACCCAGGAAGGAAATCAGCGCAGGACTCTGGAGTGTTCTATAGCAAAGGAGGGTATGTGTCTTTATAACAGACCCGCACTACTGTCCTCGCCCTCCCTGTTACAGAATTCATGACCCGGGGAGTTGGTTTTCTCTACATCATTGCCTTTCACACTTAAAAGTACAGAGAAATCACCTGGGGATCGTGTTAAACTGCACATTCGAATTCATTCGGTCTGGGGTGGGATCTGAGCAGTTTAAAAAAATGTTTTTTTAATGATAAACACAGGGAGGAAGCGGGAAGAGCGTTGTTACATGGTAGAGATCGCAATTAATGTCTGGAATAAAAATGTATATGAATGGTTGAATGGAAAACCAGTTTGCTCTGTACGCTCTCATCCAAATCCCACTAAAAGGTTGTGTTTTTTCATGTTTGTACGTGAGAACAAATAACAGGCCTTTCTTTCTTCGAATATATAGTATCGTGATCCCAGGAAAACCAAAGTCATCAGATAAATGAACTCATTTCTCATTTGTTGTTGGGTCACTGTTGGGTCGGTTCTGATTCCTAACGGAACACAGGGCTTCTCGGCCCTGCACCACCCTCACGATTGTGACGCTGTTTGAGCCCCGGATGGAGCTGCCACGTCTCTTCCCCCTTCCAGCTCGTCCTCCACCAACCACGATGCCCTTCTCTGGGGAAGGGTCTCTCCCTGTAACATGCCCACATATGGGATAGGGACTCTTGTCCTTCCTCTAAAGAAGGAACATTCTGGCTGGCTGTCCATCACAACAGACTTGTTTATTCTTCTGGCAGAAGAAATCACAGGCCACAATATTAAAATGACTCACATTTGTTTGAAATCCAAAATAATGAATAAAAATGGAAATAAAAATTTAAGAGGAAATGATGGTGGATATATATATACATGTACACACATATACAAAACTCATCGTCACCATTTTTAAATGTAAAATTCAGTAACACTAACCAAGTTGTACAATCATTATCACTGTTTTATTTCTAAAAGGTTTCCTCCCCCCTTTGACAGTAACCCCTCCCCTGGGAAACCCATAAGCTACTTCCTCTTCTCGATATTTTGTGGTATTAGGATGATTTATGTGTCTGAAGCATAATATTTGCGAGGTTCACCGGCGTTGTCCCACGTATCAAAACCTCTCTCTTTAGGGATGAATACTATTACCTTGTCTGTATACACCACCTTTTATGCGAGCATTCCTGTGTTGATGGACAGTTGGGTTGCTTTGATCTCTGGCTATTGCGAACAGTACTGCAGTGAACATTGATGCACGGGGCCTTCTGCATCTTTCCTGAGCTCCCAGCTGATGCCGGTGCTGCAGACCTGAGAACCACATTTAGGTAGTACTTCCCCAGGACTTGTGTGTCCTTCTGGCAGCTCGAAGCTTATTCAATGTTCTTTGTTTGGGTCAAATGATTTAATATATTTAAAGCATTTGGGAAATGTCACCGTGCACAGTCTGGTATGTAATTGTTCCCTAGTATTATTAATAACCTCTGATCATGAGTTTACCTCTTTGTCCTGAAATTTGGCTTTTCCCTTCATCTTTACTTTGACCTGTGTACACTCACGGCATGCGAGACTGTTCATAAAATGCTAAAGCTGAAAGAGATCTGGGATGGTATCAAAGTTGAGTGGCTAACAAGACAGAGTGCAGCAGGGGGCGATGCGCTCAAGGTCTGGCTGAGAGAGTCCTGTTTCGGCTCTGTGGTAGGAAAGCTCCTGGTGTTTGTACTTTCATTGCCAAAGAAGATAAAATAGGGCGTTCTTTCTAAAAATCATTGTCTATGGGGCTCATACAGGTCTTATCACAATCCATAGAATAGGGTATTTTTGAACCTGCTGTTCATTAATTTCACGCGTGGCGTTTGTTTTTCTGCAGAGAGATTCAGGGCCCCACTCGCAGAAGACCTGTCCTGTCATCACCATGAGCTCTGGTAAGTCACTTTAAGCTTGTCATTCTGTCCTTTGCAAATCTTCTCTTGGAAACTTCCCTAGATTTCCCATTCGCTCAGAGGCCGCCAGCACTGGTTAGCTGGTGTTCAGTTATTGATCCCCGGAGACTTGTTTTTCACCAGTGCCTTCAGTGCTGGTTGGATTTCTTCCTTCAGGATCACAGGTTCCTGATAATTTGTTAACTCTGGAAGGGGTTGCACGTTGTCCAGTTCTTTTTCGGTATAGTGACTGTGCATTCCTTCCATCTTCTTTTGATGCTTCCTGCAGAGATCAATATTTTTGCCCATAGAATCCTTCAACATTACAACTCCAGGGTTGAATATTTTTCTTCACTTCTCAGCATGATAAATGTCGGGCATGTTCTTCCCCTTTTGTTTTCCTAACTACAGTTCTTTGCACATTTCACTCTAATGCACTGTTTTCTTTAGTTGCCTTTGGGAATTTGAGGTTCAGCTCTTGGACTTCACCATTTCGTCCATTCGCTTTAGATGAGTACATTCAAGATCAAGTCTCAGTTTCTTCTGACATCCACTCTGGCCTTTTCTTTTTTTCCTATCTTTTTAATGACCTTTTGCCTTCTTCGTGTATAATGTTTTGAGGTTCTGAGGTTCTGAAATGTCTGAACAAACTCATGCAGCATTGGAAGCATGTTTCTAAGAAATTTGGAAGACAGCCACCTGGCCAGCAGACAGGGAACAGTTCTTCATTCGTGTCCATTCCAAAGGAAAGCAGCCCAACATACTGCAGAATTTATTGGACAGTATTTTGAATATCACATACAAGTAAAATCTTACGGAAGTTAATTTTTAAAAATCGCTGTAGCAGTGCATCAACAGGGAGCGGCCAGGAGATGCTGTGGCGTAAAGGGATAGTACTGCTGATGTCATATGGATCTTGGCTGAAAGTGGAGGACATCAGAAAAGTGTTTATTCGTATCTTATTGGCGTTACAAAGGCATTCAACTGTACATCACAACAACGTATAGTTGGCATTGAGGAGAAGAGTTTGCAGAACGCTTCATTGTGTTCTTGAGAGACCAAGGGGAAATTATCCCAACAGAACAAGGGGCTATTGAATAGTTTAAAATCAGGAAAGATGTGTGTCTTTCATCACACTGAATTCATTCTGTATGCTGAGCCAGTAATTCAGTAAGTTGGACTATCCGAAGAAGAACATGGCAGCAGGATTGGAGGAAGACTGATTGACAACCTGCGATACTGAACGGAAGCCTGTACCGATGGAGATTGAAGAAGACAGCCTTTCGTGTGGATTATACCTCAATGTAAAGAAATGAGAAATCCACATAACTGAACCAATAGACCACATCCTGAGAACAGAAAGGACTGAAGTGGTCGAGGATTGACTTCATTTGACTTGGATCCACACTCCATGCCCATGGAAGCGGCAAGCAGCCGACAGATCAGGACATGTACTGCATCGGGGGCAAATCTGCTGCACAGACCTCTTCAAAGTTCATGAACAGAGAAGTCACACGGAGCACTGAGCTGTGCCTGACATGAGTCATCGTACTTTCAGTTGCCTCACGTGCCTCCAAAAACTGGGTAATGACCAGGAAAGGGACACTGAAGAAGAATGCATGCGTTTGAACCATGGTGTTGGCAAAGAATTGGCAAAGAGTTTTTTTTTCAGCAAAGAATATTGAACATGCTATGAGCTGCCAGAGGACACACAAGTCCTGGGGAAGTACAGCCAGAATGCTCCTTGGAAGCACTCTGTCTCCTGTACTTTTGACATGTTTTCATAAGGAACCAAAACTCCAGAAAGCAAACGGACTGCCATTGAGTCGATGCCGACTCACAGAGACACTGTAGGACAGGATAGAACTGCCCTGTGGATGGTCGAGACGAACTCTTTACGGGAGTAGAAAGGCTCATCTTTCTCCAGCAGAATGACGAGTGGTCTAATTGCTGATCTTGTGGTTCGTAGCCCAACGCATCACCGCTATGCTACAAGGGCTCCTATACCAGAAGGCAGAGAACAGTCCCTGGAAAGGGATACCATGCTTTGCGTGGTAAGGTAGGGGGTCAGTAAAAAAGAGGAAGACCCTCCATGAGATGGATTGATACAGTGGCTGCAACGGTGGCCTTGTGAGGATGGTGCAGGGCCTGACAGTGTTTTCTTCTGCCGTGCATAGGGTCACTGTAAGTCGGAACCAACCCTACGGCACCCAGCAACACCCATTGGGAAGCCTCAGTGGCATTTTAGTTTTTAAGCTGGAAGACGTTGATGACAGCCCAAGTTGACATAAGTCATCATCATCATCATTGCTGCCTTTATTGTTAATGATTTATTGAGCACCAACTTATTGTTGGGAACTGTGTGCTTAATTAAATGCACCATGCCTTTAATTTTGACAATCATCCTGCCCTTTTCTACGTTGAAGAACCTGATTGAGATATAATCAGCCTACGATATAGTACATCTATTGTCATTAAACAGGTGGGTCAGTGTTGACATGTGCACGCACCTCGATGACACCGAGTCCTAGTGACTGTAGCAAAAGCCCACAGGTGGGGGAGGGGGAAAGAGGAGCCGATACCAAGGGCTCAAATAGAAAGGAAATGTTTAGAAAATAATGATGGCAACGTTTGTACAAATATGCTTGATACAGGTGTATGGATTGTTATAAAAGCTGTAAGAGTCTCCAATAAAATGATCTTTTAATTAAAAAAAAGAGTACACAGAGAGTTTGTCCTTGTGTCAGAGTATGAGTGGACCCTGCCCTTTCTTCACCCAGGCTGGAAGAGCAGTTTGCTCACCCTTTTGCTTTGCATTTGACAATAAAAATCCAGACTTCAACAGATGACCGGGTTTGAGTATTTTATTATTTTATAGCTAAACAGAGAGGATTGTTTGCTCTTGAACTGCCAACCATGCAGATGGCAGCCCAACACATTGCTACGATGCCACCAAGGCTCCTTATAGGGTCTGAGTATCTTCAGTTTAGGGCTTTGCGGGGAAAGCATGGGCTGGAGAAAGCAGTGCTGGGAACAGACGGACTTGATGGATTGCCAGCCCTGGCTTCGAAGCAAGGAAGTTTTCCATCTGCAGACAAAGGCCCACCTTGGCTTCTGAGAGTGACCGGGAAGACTCTGAGACCCACAGGCGTGAGTGGCAGTGGCGGTTGACCATGTGGATGTCACAGTGACCTGCCCTCCTGCTTCAGGGACCTCCTAGACCGGCATTCTTTTTTTTTCTTCTAGTTCTTTTTTTAAAAATCATTTTATTGGGGACTCATACAACTCTTATTACAATCCATCCATCCGTCCATGGTGTCAAGCACATTTGTACATTTGTTGCCATCATCATTCTCCAAACATTTGCTTTCTACTTGAGCCCTTGGTATCAGCTCCTCATTTTTTCCCTTCCCTCCCCATTCCCCTCTCCCTCATGAACCCTTGATAATTTATAAATTATTATTTTGTCATATCTTACACTGTCCAACATCTCCCTTCAGCCACTTTTCTGTTGTCCGTCCCCAGAGAGGAGGTTATATGTAGATCCTTGTGATCGGTTCCCCCTTTCTACCCCACCTTCCCTCCACCCTCATGGTATCGCCACTCTTACCATTGGAGACCTGCATTCTTCCTAGAGTCTTATCAGAGATCTCTGTCATTTAAAAACAAGCATCTTCACTCATTTCCAGACAGTGCCCTCTTAGTCACGCCCTGAGTTGTGCAGGAGAGAGGGTGTTAGGAACCAGGAGGACTCTGCGGTGTGTCACCCCATTGCCTGTGTGGCCTCGATCATGGGGTGGGCCCTTCTTAGCATTCTCATCTGTAAAATGGACCAGCTCATTGGGATGTGATGAAGATTAAAGGACGCCGCCTGAAGCATTGGTGACTCATTGGGGACATGCTTGCCTTCTACGTGGGAAACCCAAGTTTGATTTGTGGCAAATGTACCATATACACTGATACCACCTGTCTGTTGGTGGAGGCTCTTGTGTTGCTATGATACGAAACAGCTCTTGGCAGAGCTTCTAGAGTCTAAAGTCAGATGGACTAAGGTGATAGACCTTTGTTAGGAGAAGCTATTTGGAGGGAATTACGTAAGTTGGTGGGTTTTTTTTAATGCCAGGAAGGAAACCATAGCAAGAGGCAAGATAACTTAGATTATCCACAACACACTCCCTCCTCTAGCAGTTCTTCAGTTGTCCCGGGTTGGGGCCACAAAGCATTCTCAGAGCTCTCCCTGGATGCCTGAGGGACCCACTCCCACACCCAGGAAGTCTGCATGGGGTGGAACCAGCAGGATGTGCATGAGGGTAATGGATAGAACCCCTCAAGATCGGCCATGGCAGGTCCTCGGCCACTGTCACTCTCCACTCCATCCCAGCCCGGCCTGCGTGGGACTCGGTAGGATGTGGGGATGTGTGATCATACGCTCCCTTTCTTTCAGAATGTGATGTTGACGCTTCTAAGGCCGTGGTGAACGGGTTGGCACCAGGCAACAACGGGCAAGAAAAAGGTAAGGCTCTCGAAGAGAAACCTGGGCTGCGTCCTGGACAGTGTCCCGTTCCAGAGGGAGCAGGGTGCCTCGGACCTGGCCTGCCCCACTTGCCCGACCTAACGAGGCCATGAACAGGAGGCCTGCTTCTTGTCCCCGTGAGCATATGCGTGCATCTCATGAGTCTACTACCTTTTCCGTACTGTGAGATGACAGTATTAAAATACTGGCCCTGGCTCACAGGGCAGGGATGCTGTGTCAATTGCAGATCAGATACCTCAAAGGAGGTGTGCTTCATGCCAGGTGCCTGCAGCACTTGTCAGTCTGAAATCATCTTGTCATTTCCTCCTGCCCGGTGGTACAGTGGTGATAACCTTCAGAGTCCCAACCCAGTGCAATCGGTTCCGAGAGTGGCACGTGTGCTTTCCAAAGCTGTGTGCTTTCGGTTTTTAACACTTTTTTAACGAAAGCCTTCAATGTGAAATCAGTGGTGCGGAAGGTGACCTTCAAGGCCCGCTTGCCCTCGATGCTCTCATCCTGATACTTTCAGCGGAGATCCCCAAATAGGCATGCAGGCAGGCGTGCGCTGTGAGAGCACTCAAATGGCGTGGTGTGCGGTCTGGGTGCCAGCCCCGAGCAGAGAGGTGTCTTGGGAGGCCCTTTATCTTTGCAGCGTGAATCTTCTCGTCTGTGAGAGAACCACTTTGGAGGGTCCACAGGAGCAAGGACCGTGCTCCGAGTCTGGGTTCCAGTGATTCAGTGAATCACCCATCTGACAAGATTGTATGGTATCAGAAAGGAAGGGCAAACAGTCCTGGTGCTGGGTATTTAAAGCAAAGTGCAACAGCTGTCAGAGAGTAATTTCGGAGTTTGGCATGTTTGGCCTTTGACTATCATTCCTGTCTGGTTCAGCAAATCTTCTTTTTGAGACGGGGCAAGATGTACGAGACAGACTGCTGGAGAGGGAAGACATACCAGGCAGGAGGAGGTGGGGCGAGGGGACCCATTTGGTCTGGGGGTGGGTGCGGTTTGGGGGTGGCAGGGTCCTGTGTTCTGTGGCTCTTGGTTTCCCTGCCCAGTTTCCCTCCTCCATGCTTGAGGTGGAGCTTTGCCTGCTGTGTTCTTGGTCTCCCGCATTCTCGGCAAAGCTGGATGTAAGGAACGTTGGTGGACCTAGTGTGGAGTGAGCACCCCAGCTCACGGCCATTGAATGGATGCCGACTCGCAGTGACCCCTGTGTGTTTCCGAGGCTGGACTTGTACAGGAGTAGAGAGCTTCATGGTTTGGAGCTGGCTGGTGGTTTCCAACAGTGGACCCTGCACTTAGCCACCTAATGCATCGCCACTGGGCCACCGGCGCTCCTGGACTGGGTGGACACAGGGCGGGAGTGTGTGAACATCCAGTTAGAAATGTGGAGAGAGATGGGTGTGCTGATGCTTTTAAACCCCATGGGGCCACCCACCCCACCCCTGGGAATTTTTTTAGAGAAGAGACTGAAGAGGGAAGGAGGGTAACAGATAGAAGTGGTCCCACTTGGTCCTTGGTAAGACTCCCCTTTGTCTTACCAAAGGGGGAGGCAAGTGCACCCTGAGGGTCACCGGAGCAGTCAGGAGAATTGCTGTGACCGCTTAGTGTTTGGAGTATGGTTATTATTCACTCGGTTACTGGCTGGCAGAGGCCATGGATAATTCGAGGGACTGGCGGGTGGGGAGGGCACTGTCCTCTGCCGAAGTGCCGCCCTCCCCCCTTTGAAAGGCACTGACAGGCTTTCCAGCACAATGGCTGATTCTTCAGCAAGCCTTGCTTCTGAAACAGCCCTACCCGCAGGCGGTATCTGTGGCTACAAGACCTCTGGGCGTCCCCCACCGGAGTGGCAGGGGCGTCGGCACCACAGCGCATGTGTTTCAGCTCTCTGCATTGCCTGCATGAGAGACTGAGGATGAGGGGTGGGGTCGGGGGCTCGCAACCAGCTTGTTCTGGGATAGAGGGTTTGGGGATGGGCCCACCATTGAGTCTGCAGCATCTGGGGAGGCAGGGAGCCCAAGAAACCCTGCAAGGTTGGTAGCCTGGACCACCCAGGGCTGGAGGATACCAGCCAGCCTGCCTGCATTCCAGCCGGTGACCCCAATCCCCCTGCAAGCTCAGCTAGGAGTCTGAACCCAGCCTGCGTCACTTGGGTGGTGCCCAGAGTCTTGAGTTTGCGATTGGATGCTTGGCCACCTCTTGACTGGGGAAGAGTGGCTTTAAGCAAGACCATCTGCGGCCCGACAGATGGGGCTCTGACTTGCTGGGGGCAGGAGGGATATGATTGGTGGAGCAGACCCAGCATCAAAGAAATGGTGGGGAGGCATCTGTGATGGCTGAAGGGACTGGGCAACTGATGGACTTGCTCTTTTCTTCTCTCGTCTGAGCCCCATGGGCCATGGCTGGCTTCCTCGGGCCCTCCCCTCAGTGTGAACGCCAGGCTTGCCCCAAGGGGGCCCTTGGACGCCACTCTCCCCTTCCTCGGCTTGCCAGGCCATCTGTGCCTCTGTAAACCTCTTTGTGCAGGGCCCTGGCAAGCTCTTGGTGTGGCAGGAGGGCAGTGAACAACCCTGACCCCCCGAATCTGGGGCGGTGGCTTGAGGAAGAGCCCCTACGTAGTGGTCTATAACCGGAACCCGGAGAAAGCAGGTTATTTTTAATCGCTGCGTCCATGGCTCTTTGTGTTATTCTTCTCATGGGGGCGACTTCCTCCTATTGTCCCTGCCCAGTTCCTCAGCAGCCCGAGTGTTTCCCAAGTGTTCCCTCTGGATGCACCATTTACCCTTTTGTGTTTTCAGCCACCACCAGCCCTTTACGCGCACGCTCTGTTTCGGCCGTTAAAATAATCCCCGTGAGGACAGTGACAAACTCCGCAGACCTAGTCCTCCGCACAGGTACCTCTTTCCTGAGTCTCCGCAGACCACGCACGCCGTTGTCTTCCTCCCTTCTAACAATGACTTAGACGCTTCATCCTTGCATGCTCTCTCCCACTTCCTGGTGCGTTTCCTTCGTGTGTGTGAGAGAGAAAGGGGGCTGGGGAGGGGGGGTGTCCATGCACTTGTCCTGCTCTCCCTGTAGCGCTCTGACCCCCAGGACTTGGGTTTCCAGTGAAGGATTAGTGTGGGCCTGCGGAGCACCTGGGGTGGCCGGGCCACGCAGCAGCTGCCTTGGACACCAAACCTGAGACTCTCCTCTGTGAAGCCCCCCGCGGGCCCACCCCTACTCCACCTGCAGCCACTTCCTGCCCGTCCTCCAGGGAGGGGGGGTAATCCCCATGCCCTCTCCATCTCCAAGCTGCCTCCTGTGCTGAAGCCCGCTCCACCTCGCCCCCAAAGCTCCCTCTTGGGTGATCCTGACCTCTGGTTGTCCCTGTGGGTTACAGGGTAGGACTGGGACACCCACAGGGTTTTCTTGGCTGGGATCTGTACCGAAATAGATTGTCCAGAGTTCCTTCTGTGGAGCTGCTGAAGGAGAAGTGAAGGGACTACTGTCCGTCCCCCCCACCCCACCCAAAGGACGCACATAGCCCTTTCCCCAGTGGGTTAGGTAGGGATCATAGCAACCTTACAGGCCAGCATCGGTCTGTCTTGTAGGCTACCTAAGGCTGTCTGTCCCCTTTCTTGGAGCAGCGGGTGGGGTCGGCCTGCTGAGCTCTGTGAGAAGCTGAGTCTTTAGTCACTGCACCACCAGGGTGCCCAGATGAGGCAGACAAGGGTGCTTTCAGGAGTTGGACACTCCTGGCCGGGCGCCCTGGGACCTGTTGATGGGCTGCACCGTGTCCTGTGGAAATGGCCGAGAACCAGCTTCCCCGATCAGTGGGTGACATCTGTCACTTAACATCCTGATGGGATTGGACCAGTCAGATGCTCCATCATCCATTGTGTTCTTGTGCTCGGCTTTCACCGCAAGGACGCTGACAGGGCAGATCTCTTCTGTAACCTGATGGTCGTTGCAGCTGAGCTATTGGGAAGGGCGGGCTCCCGCCGGGAGAGCTGGAGAGAAGAGGCTTTGCTCCTCACTGCCCTGACCCAGGAGTGGGAGGAGGTAGACTTCTGAGCTCAGCTCCTTCCCAGAGCCCCTTGCATATTAGCTCCTCATCCTAATCCTAAATTTAGACCAGGAATCCAGGCGGTGCAGTTTGCAAAAGCAACCATGGGGTTCAGTTCAGCTGAGCTGCACCGAAAGAAGCATGTGTGTCTTCTAGAACCTTCTAGACCACCACCCGTGGCCTGCTTCTCTCCCTATTGCCGACTCTCCTGTAGGCTCAGAACCGGTCGGTTGAAATCTGTGTACGGATCAGGGTGTTACCAGGCCACTCTGAAGACTCTAGGAGCCGGGCATGGGGCAGGGGCTGGGCAGGCTCCCTGGGGCAGCGAATGCTTTCCATTGAAGGAGTTCGTGCTTCTGGTGTTATCTTTTGGAATGTGTGAGGCGGCCTCTCCCAGGATCTTTCTCTCCAGGCAGGGACTTGGTCACTCCGGTCAGTTCCAGGTTCTTGACTTGCTGACATGGGAGGCTTTGCTCCACCTGCCACTGGAGGGCTGCAAGGGGCAGCATTGTCCTCAGGACAGCCCCCTGGTCCCCTCAGTTGGCAGCATGTTCTTTTACAAGTGTGGGTGGAGCGAGGGGGTGGTTCCTGGAAACTTTGCTGAACTGCACTTAACTAATCGATGAGAAGTCTGCTTGCCTGCCTAAACGTCATTTAATACAAGGAATCAACCTGCTTTCATTGTGAAACTCCCCTGCTGACATTGAACTCATACATGTACTCAGAATTCATCGGCACCCCCACCTGCCCCCCTAACCTCATGATGCGTGCAGCAGACCTCGGCACACGGCACTGGTCCCCTGGCCACCATCCACGGGAAACTTTTCATTTCTCCCCCCGCCCACGTGTATGGAGCCTTCCTGTGTCTGCCACCTGGTTCATCTCCTCCGGGGTGGGGGGATGGGATGGAGGGGGTGTCTGTACATGTCAGTAGCTGACTGTTGCTGTCATCTTCTGTGAAACATGGGGTCCAATATCCTCTTCTGGGTCTTTTCATTTCAGACATGGATCCTACAAAAATCTGCACGGGGAAGGGAGCGGTGACGCTAAGGGCCTCGCCCTCCTACAGAGAAACCCCAAACACTAGCCCCGTGAGCCCTCAGGAAGCGCCATCTGCTGAGGGCAAACCAGGTGTGTCACGTTGTGTCGTTGTGTCGTGGGATGGGTGGGAGGTGCTTGCTTCTCAGAAAGGGAGGTCTGGATGGCTTGCAGCACTGAGAGGAGGTGGAATGGCTTCTTGCCCCCACGCCTGAGCCCACACCTGACTACTGAGCCCTTGCGGTTTGCCGCTTTCAGGGAAGGTCAGGCCCAGGAGAAGAGGTAGTTTCCTAAAATTAGCCTGTCCCAACCTTACAGGCCCAACTAGGGAACACCCAGATCCCCAGCATTGGATCCTATGGGATGATTTAAAGTCATTTGGTCTACCACCCCCTTTTCAATGTGTCAGTCTGGGTAGAATAGAGAAACAAATCCATAGACACTCGTGTATAAGAAAGAGTTTTATATGCACGAGCAATTGAATATTGAGAAAATATCCCAGCCTAGTCCAGATCAAGTCTATAAGTCCAATATTAGCTCATATGTCTGATACCAATCTATAAAGTCCTCTTCAGACTCATGACACACATGCAATGACGCCAAACGTAGGAAGATCACTGGCCAGTGGGTGGGAAGTCTTGTGGATCCAGTGGCATTATACGCATCTCAGCACTGGCAGGGGTCTCCACGTGGCTTCTCCAGTTCCCAGGGTTCTGGCTGCCTCAGGGTAGCTTCATGTGTCTTGTCAGCTGCAATGTCTTGCAGGGAGTGAGCAGAGAAAGAGAGTGTCTCCCACCTCCAGGGAGGAATTAATGAAGTTCCCAGAATCCTCAGGAGAAGGCCAGGCCCACACAGAGGCCTCATCTTGGCTATATATCCCGATTGCCAGGCTAGATTCCACCCGTACACTCTTAGTCTTAAAATTGACAAACGAATATATAACTACCACACAGTTGGGGGTGGAAAGTTACTTGGTATCCCCTTAGAAATTAAAAACTATATAGAGTTTTCAAGACTGTACATCATTTTTGTCCATGCACAAAAACTTTATTTAAAATGTTAAGGTATTAATATGCTCTCAGGTACAAAAATGGCTGCACTACACATGTAGATGTCTCCATTCACTTGGTTTTCACACAGTGTAACAAATGTACTGTGTGTTTTCTTGCTTTAGCTAAAAAGCAAACCCATTGTTTTCAGGGTTGTTAATAAGATTTATTGGTATCGAATTCACATATCCTATAATTCAGTAGTTCCTTCACATCGAGAAGTTACACAATCACCACTGCCATCCATTTTAGAACCTTTTCTCCGTTCCTGTGCTCCTCATTATTAGCTTTCCATTTCCTTCCAGCCTCCCCTGCCACCCCCAACCCCAAGAAATCATTAATCCAGTTTCTGCCTCTATAGGTTTGCTTATCCTTCATATACAGAAAAACAACAACAAACCAACACCAATAACAAAGTGCCGCATATACTGGAGTATAAGCCGACCCTAATATCCACTGAAGCACCTCATTTTACCACAAAAACCGCATTAAAAATGTGCTGAAAAACTCAGCTTATACTTGAGTATATGTGGTAAAACATAAAAAACCTCAATGGCAAATCCGAAAATATTAAAAACTAGGACAGATTTAAGATGGATCAAAAGGGAGATGCAATGATACGGTGTTAAATTTTAACCTAACTGCATCTGCAACAATCCATTTTCCAGTGCACTCCAATCACGTCCCTGGTGTATGCTTAGAGAGTATTCACCAGAGGCTTAATCCACATAAGACTGTAAATCTGTATGGGCACAGAACGCCTTATCTTCCTCCCAAGGAGCCGCTGGTGGTTATGAACTGCTGACCTTTGGTTAGCCACCCTACTTGTAACCCACTAGGTCACCTGAAACCACGCAGCCTAATAAGAGCCTTGTCCACTGCCTGACCCCGTGGCCAAAAGTGGGGATGGTGGAGGAGAGGGAGCCTGGAGCTCCACCTGGTGGTTAGAGTGTGAACACACATGTGGAGACCAGCACACAGGCTTCACATGCTGTACCTCGCCCTGGGGGGCTTGTGCTAGGAGGACTGTGGTCATACAGTGATTTGAGGGGCTGTAGGAAACTCTCTCTAGTCCCCAAATAATCTGACATCTAGCAGAGTTCTAAAAAACCTAACTTATTTTTAATCTCAAAAAAATTGAATACAAAACTGAAGAATTCGGAGGGGAGCATTAATTAGCCAAGCACATCTTACAATATATTAAGCTTAGTAGGTGTTTTTCTTACTGATTGAAATCATTGGACCCAAATCGACAACATTCATTCCACATCATATATGTGCCAGTTGCTAAGCTAGTCACTGGCCACCGTGATGAGAAATGGGGTAGAAGGTGGAAAAAGGAGAGTAATTCTGGGTGTGTGAGGTGAGGGCAAGAGCGTGCTTGTTGCGACAGGAGAGTCAGGAGTGGACTGACCTGCGTTGAGGTCATCGGTCAGCCACAGTGCTTCTGACTCCCGTGTAAAGTCTGAGGGACTTAGATGCTTTCCAAGCCTGCCCAGTTTCAAAGTATCCACGACCATGGGAAGTTTGGCACTCGATCTCACACAGACACTCACTCACTGGGGACAGATTTGGTTCTGTGTCCCGAGGCAGCGTGGGGTTGAAAGGAAAGAGCCCCCTTGGGTAGAGGGGAAAACATTCAGAGCATAAAACACACTGGAAAGCGTTCACACCAGGGAGTGTTAAACTCGGGTGTGGCTCTGAAGACGGATATTCAGGAATGGGGAGCTTGCTCTCTTACCATACATCCCCACCGACCGGCTTGCTGTCCTGCCCATAAGGCTCCTCAGTCTTCCCCTCCTTGTGTTGTCCTCCATCTCTAGACGGCAACTTGCTCGCCACCCAGTCTCCAGTCCTGCCCTAAGAGCCCCTGGGTCTTGAGTGGCCTATGAGAGCTGTTTGGGTGTTTGCAGGTACCTATGCTCTGCCTAGACTGGGACTCCGGATGGGAGTGGCTGTTGCCAAGGGCTGGGCAAGCTTCCCCTCCTCAGCCTCTTCCTCGATCCCCGTGGTCAGGTAGCATCCCGCTCCACTCTTCGTCAGAGCCAGCATTTGCCTCACTGCTCTGTCTGCTTATTCCCTGGCCTTCACCTGCTACGCCCTCTAGGGCTGTAGGTGGCTGATTATCTGCCCAGATTAGAAGCCCCAGTCTTGCAACAGAAAAAGAAACCACTGTGATCCAGTCAGTTCTGACTCACGACAACCATATAGGGCAGGGTAGAACTGCCCCGATGGGTTTCCAATATTGGAACTCTTTACAGGAGTAGAAAGCATCCTCTTTCTCCCACGGAGCAGCTGGTGGTTTTGAACTGCTGACCTCACGATTTGCAACCTGAATGTGTAACCACTACACCACCAGGACTCTCAGTACAAGCCAGTATTTATATTCTCCCAGTTTTCTTCTTTCACTCCTGGACATTCATATTTCAGGGGTGCTTCCTATACTTAGTCCTTGCTCCTTTGAGAGGAGATATATCGTCTGGGTTCCGACAGCCCTTGATGGAGTCTCAGCTCTGCTGCTTTTATGATATGAGCAAATGGCTTAGCCATAGAGAGAGCCTCATATTTTTATATCTGTCTTACAGATGATCATAATAGATTGGGGGAGGTGTTAAACGAGCATTTTCATATTTAGCACTTAGCACAAGCCAGGCACATGGCAAACCGAACCCCAACTCATTGCCTTCAACCTTCTACATGGCTTCTGAGACTATAAAGTTTCTCAGGAGCAGACAACCTCCTCTTTCCTCTAAGGCAGTGGTTCTCAACCTTCCTAATGCCACGGACCCTTTATACAGTTCCTCATGTTGTGGTGACCCCCCAACCATAAAATGATTTTTGTTGCTACTTCATCACTGTAATTTTGCTACTCTTATGACCTGTGAAAGGGTTGTTCGAACCCCAAAGGGGTCGAGACCCACTGGTTGAGAACCACTGCAAGGAGTGGCTTGGAGGTTGAAATTGCCTACCTTGTAGTTAGCAGCCCAACCCCTGGCCTACAGGGTCACCAGGTACGTAGCAGGTGCTATTCAATTCCAACCCTTAACGGGTCTGTTAAATCTTGAAATAATTTAAGGCCCACGGAGGCTTGGACCTAGGGTGGGGTTGTGGGGAATGAAGAACGGGGGCCAGCTGTAAAACATACATTTGGAAGGAAGAAATGACAGGGCTTAATGCAATGTATTTAAGGGCTAAGATGCTGTGCTAACCAGCAGGCATCTTCCTGGGTTGACTAAGAGGATCATTGCGGTATCCCTGGAGGTGAGTTCCCAGTTTTAAAAAACATTGACTTTATTGGCAAGGGGAGGACCTTGAGGAGGAAGTTACTAAGAGGCGTTTGGGGTTCAAGGTGTGGATTTGGGAACCTTCTTGTGGTTGAAGTGAGCGATGGGAAGGTGGAAACATTCTCTGAGGTGGAACCACAGACAGCCCTTTCTCACCCTTTGACTGTAGACCTTGGTTTGGGGGTAGGAACCATCTAGGAGGAATTGTAGTATTCTCAGTGCTGGCCCCGGGCCCCACGGAGAGGGAGCTCTCATTATCTTATCCCTGTGTTCTGGTCTCCGTGGCTGGCCACAGGGCTGGGGAGAACATGGGAGTGGTCCACAGTGACTCACTCCACTGTTGTTCCCTGGGCAAAAGGAAGCTCATGTTCGGGGTTGGGGGAAATCAAGCTTGCCCTTCGGTTGAGCCTGAAGACCTTGTGCTTGATCTGTCATTTTCTGTGTTCGGACCCTGATCCTGAGGTCCAGTTCAACTCTTAAATTTGGTTGATTCTGTGCCAGTTAGCTCCCATCCTTACTGCCTGGTTTTTAGCCAGAGAGTTAGTTTTAGATGGAAAGGGTCTTGGACCCTCTGGTTTGACTCTCAGATTGGTTCTCCAGAAGTGACCATGGCAAATACCTGTCTCAAGAAAACTGACCTTGAAGCAGTTTATGGTAAAGGACCCTGGAGGTGGATCCAACTGACCTCTTTTGGCTTTCCTATTGCCAAGAGGCGGGGCCAGGCAAGCCTCCACTCTCCATCCTTCCTTCCCTGTTCTGACCTCTCTGCCTCTGTGCTGGGGTCGGGACTTCATTGCAGTGGCCACACAGAACTTACAGGCCATTCAGGGGGCTTATTAGGGAGCTCAGTAGGTTACCACCGGCAGGATCAGCAGAGTAAGGTTACAGCAGCCATCCGTCTCCTCGTCCAGCAGTCGTCTGTCTCTGCTTCTCAGACTCTTAGCCACATGGTCTCTCGGCCTTCGCCTCCATAGGCCAGGAAGCCAGCACACCTGCCATGCTGTCCCACAGGTACCCCACAGTCTCAGTGCTGCGCCTCCGAGTGTTCCCGTCACAGTCTGTGATGCGTGCATCTGGTCCCAGTGGCCTCCACCACTTCAGACAGATCTTGAACTTGTTCCTCCAAGGCCCTCGGGGTTTCTCTGTGCTCATGGCTCATCCTTATAGCTAAGGGAGTGGTGATGAAAACAGACCGATCCCTGTTAGTATGATACACACCCTGTTTGCATCGTCCTCCCCAGTCTTTTGGTGGGCGTTAGAGACATGGATAGAAGAGCCATATTAAGAAATGTCACTCGACCATACAGTTACGACACCCCTCTCCGTGCTATCTATCGAGTCTGTTCTGACCCTTAGTGACCCTCTAGGACAGGGTAGAACTGCCTCTGGATTTCCCAGACTGTCACTCTTTATAGGTAGGGGCCCTGGTGGCGTAGTCCTTACAAAGTGGGCTGCTGACCTGCAGGTCAGTGGTTCTACACCACCAGCTGCTGCGCTGGAGAAAAGAGGAGGCTGTCTGCTCTCGTAAAGAGTTAGCCTGAGAAACCCACAGGGCAATTCTGCCCTGTCCCGTAAAGTCGCTGAGTCGGATTCCACTCAGTGGCGTTGAGTTTTGGTTTGGTTTTTGACTTTACGTGAGAAAGCGCTCATCTTTCTCCCGTAGAGTGGCTTGTGGTTTCGCCCCGGGCTAGCAGTTAGCAACCCACTTTGTAACTCACTAGGCCCCCGGGGTCCTGTAGTCCAGCTCATCAGATTTTTTTTAATGAGATATGCAGGAAAACAAATGCAAATAAGATTAGGTCCACTTTTTAACATAGCTCATCTAACTCTTGGATACTTGTTTGAACACACACTTTAGAGTAATCAACCATTTGAGATCAGAAGAGTAGCGTTCATTCCAGGGCAAAACCGTTCACGAGGATCAGGAAAGAAGGGATGGAAACGGACAGGAAGTAGGGACCGGGGATGTTACATTGTGGGCATTGCAACTAATGAGGTGAAACAAAATGTTTATGAATTGCTAAATAGAAAACTGATGTTGTGTTCTAAACCTTCAAAGAAAATTATCCTATGATCCCAGGAGAAACTGATCATCCAAAAAAATCTCCCAAATAAACAAAAACCCAACAACCGAAAACCATTAGGCCTGAATGAAAGTAGCGAAGGAGGGTGAGAGCCTCAGGAGACCCTGGCCACAGGCCAGAAAAGGTTGTCTGTAAAGAACAGATGGGGAAAGGTAAGGCCAAACCAATGATCCTTTTTGCTGAAAGACTTGGTATCTTTAGGGCGGTAAAACCTGAGATTCATGTTTCCAAGGCTTCCTCCTGAAAAGCTGTGTGGTAACATGTATTGGAGGAAGCATTTTGGCACGCTTTTCAATCAAGGGTTAATAATTGATGATGATGTATATAAAACTCTATCCCACTGCACTGAGGCATAAATTGGCCCTCGGCTGCTGTCAACCTTCGAGGTCCAGAAGCCTCGGTCGGTACCTGTTGGATGATTGAGCACCAGAAATACCACCTTTCTTAATAAGGAGGAACAGGAACCCAGGGGGCAGAGTGGTTACACATTGGGCTGTTACCTGCGAGGTCAGCGGATCAAAACCATCAGCTGCTCCTCAGGAGGAAAACAGGGCTTTCTGCTCCCATAAAGAGTTAACAGTCTTAGAAGCCCACAGGGGCAGTCCCTCTTGTCCCATAGGGCCACTGAGTCGGCATCAGCTTGTTGGCAGCGAGTTTGGGTTTGGGTTTTCCATTAGAAGGGAGGCGCTTTGGTGGCACTATGGAGTCAGCAGCGGGGGTGAAGCCAGGTTTCGGCTCCCCCACCCCCGTCCCGACCTCATAAGCCCTATGCTCCACAGCCACCAGGTGCCATGAAGGGGTCACAGTAGGAGAGGTTTAGGGCCCCTGCCTACATTGGGCAGTTGTTGGGGGGGGCAGACTGGTTGGCAGCAGAAGGGAACCCTGGGTACCTTAGAATGTGTTGAAAACGCAGGACAACTGATAAGATTTTGAAGTGTTTTCATGGCCCCAACAAGGAACGAAGCCAAGCAGATGGAGGGGGCAGAATCCGTTATCACAGTAGATGCCTCTGGGCTTAAATCATGCCCTACCGAAGGCCAGCTCCAGCACCGCTGGACAAAATGCTTCTCCACGCTCGCTGTGCCAGGCCTGCTGACGCGGAGAGGTCATCCTGGACCCGCGGGAGGCTGAGAAGGGGAATGGGAGCGAGCTAGGGAGCACTGGCCACGGAGTGGCCCGCTGCCTGCTTGTCTGTAAGACAAGAATGCCAAGGAACAATCGTTTCTTCAGTCCTGTGAATGTGAGCCTTGTGTTTCCAAAGGTCAGCGCCTGTGAGCACACCATGGTTTCGAGTGGGTCCTATGGAAATGAGGCCATCGTGACTGGGGGCGTTTGTGTCAGGCAGCGGGGCACTGGGCTGCCAGCCCTCTGTGCGGCGGCACATGCTTGTGTTCTTGTGAATGTAACCATCTGTGTTCCCTCTTCTTGCTTCCACCACTTTCTGCACCACGCGTAGGTCTGGAGCCAGAGACTTCCTCAGCAGGTAGGGTGTCTCTTGCATGGTTTCTGCCTTGGCCCTCTGCCAACCAGCAGAGCACTGCGGAATCAGAGGGGAGCCAGCGGGTGTTCCTGGGATTGAAAGCCCTTTCTTTTTAACATAGATGAGTGGAGACTTTCTTCCAACGCGGATGCCAATGGAAACGCCCAACCCTCTTCGCTTGCTGCCAAGGGCTACCGAAGCGTGCATCCCAACCTTCCTCCCGACAAGCCCCAGGTAGGCCTCTGCCCAAGCGGACGTGGACACCAGTGAGTGTTAACCGTTCAGGCTTTTAGTTAGTTAGTTTTAAGTCTGGACGTGCGACCTCCTGCTCCCCGAAATAGTTCTGAGTTAAGCTTCTGGCCCACGCTGGAAACCTTGAACTGGGAAAGGTTGAGGTCCAGGGGAGCAGAGCAATTGATGGGTTTACAGAACATTTTCACAGAAGGTGCCCAGACAGCAAGGACTTAAATGTTGAAAGCTAAAAACTTGGGAAAGTCTTTGAGGAAAGGTTTGAGAGGAAATTGGGGTGCTGGGGGCGTCTCCCGCTTCTGGCGTTCCTCTTCGGTCAGGAGGCCCGGAAACAAGTGCAGGTGCACAAGACTGGGTACCAGCATCGGCTTAGCAAATGGCACCTGTGCCTCCCTATACTGCCGCTTAAGAACAATGGGTGCTTCTCAGGGTCCGTCACTGTCCAAGAATTCTCCCTTCAAAAGAACCTGCTAAATCGCCATATTCAGGTATCCTTCTGCATCTTCCACACCACTTCAGGCACCCAACAGTCAAGAGCAGGGGTCCTTAAACTTTTTTAACAGGGGTCAGCTCACTGTCCCTCAGACCCGTTGGAGGGCCAGACTATAGTTTTAAAAAAAACTATGAACAAATTCCTATGCACACTGCACATATCTTATTTTGAAGTAAAAAAACAAACAGGGCAAAAACACCTGGCGGGCCGGATAAATGTCCTCGGTGGGCCGCATATGGCCCGCAGGCTATAGTTTGAGGACCCCTGGTCAGGGGCTTTGAGGCATCCATTACCTCTTGTGTTTGTTCTTTCTTAGTTCAGAAAGGACTTCCTGCGTCTGGTTAGCCGTTGCCAGGGCTGCGAGTGTGTGCCCAGTGCAGGCAGACACCGCTCGTCTGCGGCTGGTGTCAGGCCCAGCATCTCCACGCAAAGACAGAGAGAGGATCCCACCGCTGACACTCCTGGAGGAGTGTTCTGTAGGCATCCCGCACCCCTGCCTCCATGTCCCCAGGCTTCGGAGAATGGTGCTTTCTGAAACTAAACAGGGAACCTACCGCTTTCTTCAGGCAGCTCCCTTTTCCGCTGGCCCACTTTCGGAAAAGATCAAGGAATCCATTGATAGCCAGTTGGGCGGGGGTGTAAAGGTGGCTCCTACAATGATTTAAATAAAACTGAAAGTCACTCCTTCCCGGTAAAGTCACCGTACCAATCGCCCTCCTCCGTTAAGGCTCAAAGAAGCCCCAGCACAGGAAGACCTTTGGCTCTTAAGTGCACAGTCAACCCTCAGGGTCAGAGCCCTGGGAAGGCTTGAGGCCTGATGTCACATAGCCAGGCCACCCTATATGGCGACAGCCAAATTGAGTTAAATGCTCCCACAGAAATTGATTTCTATCTTTGGACAAGAAAGAATCACTTAGGGAAACTTGAGCGCTATGTAAAAGTAATTCCAGGCCCAAATCAAAATGGTCTTTTACTTACCTCCTTAGCAGCCATCATCCACTTGACCAGCGGTCCCTCTGGGCTGGGCTGCCCCAGGTGTTGTGTTCTCCTCTGTAACCCTGCCCCAACCTCCAGCCATACTTGAACGAAAGCAGCGGAGTTCATCTGAAAGTGCCTCCCCTCGCTGGCTGCTGGCACAGGAGCCGCCCATGGTGTGAGGCTGGGCTGGTGCACGTGGCCACCCTTCCCTGGCACCCTCACAGCCACCTGGTCGAACAGGCGGGCCTCAGGTTAGCCCAATTAGCTCCTCTCCGTTGACTTCTGTGGAGTTTTGAAAAATGAGTTTGTTCAAGGATAAGGTGATTTACTGCCTCTGGGTTGATATTCTAACCCAGACTCAAAAAAGGTTTTATTTCTGACCTATTCACGCTCTCTACCAACCTTCCTATTGCTGCCTATAACACACACACACACACACACACACACAAACACAAGAGAAGACAACAAAGTAGAAAACAAAAACAAAACCTCACTCTCCCCATTTCTTGGTCACAAGCCCTTTACTGCCCGTTGACCATGCACCGATATGCCCCACCTACGAGTTGTGGAGGAAGGTTCTGATGTCTTCCCCTCCCTCAATCTCGTTAAATACAATTAAGGTCAGTGAAGGAAATCCAGGAAAACGAGCTGTCCTCCTCCCATCTCCCATGGTCCGATTCCCAGGGGAGTCACAGGCTGGCAGATGGCTCTCTTTGAAATGAGATTCACTCCATTTCTCTGCCCTCTCCCCCGCTGAGACCCGAAGCAGAACTAGGAGTTGTGCTGAGAGAAGGGAAATGAGACGTGAAGTACAACTTTCTAGCTGTGAACTTGTAACCAGGGCTCTGGGCTGAAGCACTTGAGTCCTGGGCTATCTGTGCTTGTCAGTGGGCAGGGTGGGAGTGGCTGAACGGACCCTCCGGGGCTTCTTTGTCTGGACCCTTGACTGCATGCGTCACAACTGGAAGACAGGTGCCTTAGCTCTCATGTGCCTTAGCTCTCATGCTCGTCTTCTTTGTCATCGTGAGCTCTATCAAAGTGTTTCCTCCAAGAGCGCATGTGGAGGAGAGGCCTTCGCGTTCTCTTCGTGATGAGCTTTAATTTGTCTTGCTTAGGGGGCGCATTGCTAGATTTGAGTGCTTCCATGAAGACATCTGTCGCCTCTGAACCAGGGTTTCAAATTGGTCCTATTTCAGCTCCCACCTCCTGAGAATTTGCATTTCCACATCAGATATATGGAGTCAAAATCAACAGTTTAACAAGATCCCCAGGTGCTGTGGAGGGGGGTGGGAGGGCATGGAAAAATAATATCTGTCAATTGCATTTTTCCATGAGCGGTCTGACACCCCCCTCTACATGAGGTGATTTGCATTTCCAACCCAGATACTGAATCCATCTAGTAACAGGACCCCAGGGGACAAGTATACATAAAACCCCCAGGTGAAAGGCTTACACCTAAGAATCACACAGACCTTGTTCAAATACAGGCTCTGAAATCAAATTCTTAGGGAGTTGAATCAGAACAAGCCTCTATCTAAGTCTTGCAAATGGACAGAAATAAGGCCCCTTCCTCCAGTTCTGTCTCCTCCCAGAAAAGACTGAAAGGCGTGGAGAAGAGTTTCAGTGAGCTTTTTTTTTTTTTTTAATTTCACAAACTTTTTCCGAGAAAATGGATGGTTTACAGAACATTTGCAAGGTGTCCAGAGAGCAGGAACTTAAATGTTGAAAGTTAAAAACTTGGAAAAGTCTTTGAGGAAAAGTGTGAGAGGGAATAGGGGTGCTGGGGGGCCTCTCCCACTCGGGCGTCCCTGTTCGGTCAGGAGGCCCGGAAACAAGTGCAGGTCCACAAAACTCTGGGTACCAGCATGGGCTTAGCAAATGGCGCCCCGGGGCTGCTCCCTCCTTTTGCTGTAAAGGAGAGGGCGGGGCCTGGTCCTTCACAGGTGAGTATGGTTAGGGCTGGACGGCTTGGCTGACCCAGCAGGGGCGTGTGGGCACCGAGCAGCTCTCAGCTGAGGATTTGCCGGAAGCCCTGTCGGGTATTGCCTTTTCTTTGTTCCCGTGAGCTGTTGCTGTTTCTAATGGTCGTCCTTCTTCCCATTGCCCCTCGTCTCTCTCCCCACCTTGCCTCTGGCACCCTGTGGCCAAATACTGAAGGTTCTCTCTGCCCCACGCTCCCTCCTTCCTCAAGAGGACAGCTTTGCACGGCAGCCCCCCACCCTCTGCTGTGCCTCCAGGGATTCCCTCTACCTGAGCTCACCACGGCCTTACCTCTCACTTAGCACCCCCAGCCAGCAGGCCCCCTCACGACCCCAGCCCCCCACCTCAGTTCCCAAAGGTGCAGTGTGCCCTGGTCCCTGGCTTCCGGGTACCGCGGTCCCCTCTGCTTTTCCGCAGCTCCCGCGGCAGCACCCTGCAGCCACGGGGACAGTGGATAGCAAGAATGTGAGCTCTAATCCACGTCACACTGCTGTTGGTAGCAAAAAGGTCAGCAGCTTATATGTGCCTTGTTTATCCAATAACGTTGGCCTGGTGGCATCAGAGCGCGCCTCCCGTGTTGCACGTGACCACCGGGCCCCAGGCACTCCCCGGGAAGCTGCAGGCACTGGAGCACCCCGGGCTCCCAGCATCTCCCACACAGCAGGCGCCGGAAAGCCACCCTTTGCTCCTCCTCCTGACTCTCCCCAGCTGTTCTCTGCCAGCCTTAAAGATGCCGCTAACCACGGTGAGAGCCCTTCCCCAGGGACTCGGGCTTCGCTCCCAGGTGCGGTAAGACCACCTGTGCTAGACCCTCAGGTGCCCTCTGATCCCGAAAACCGGAGGAGAAAAGAGCCTTCCCCTTTGCAGCCGTGCTGTCCAGCCAAGGCAAGAACGAGAAATTGTGTGTGTGTGTGTGTGTGTGTGTGTGTGTGTGTGTGTGTGTGTGTGTGTGTCTCTGTCTCTTCTGCACCGTCTCTTTCCAGACGGATGCCAGTGCCTGTGTTTGTCGATTGGAGTGCCCTCCCCTCTCCCTGTGGAAATAGCTCAGCAGCCTGGTTGTTCTCAGCCTCGCTCCTCTCCCTCCCTCCCAAAGGTTTGAGTTTGCCTGAGTGGGTGTAGAACCCAGAGGTGAGCTCTAGTGCATTGACGTTGTATGACATGATGCCAGGGAACTTGCCCCCTCGCGCCCAGGTGCTACAGGTGGTTTTGTGGGGTTGAACACTGCCCGCTTGCCCCATCTGTGGTTCTGTCTCCCTCTCCCTCTCTCCTAAAGTGTTAAAGGGATTCAAAAATAGATGGATGGAAAGTGGACTTGGATGGGGCTCCCTCCAGTGTCACCGAATATCAGGAGGCCTGCTGGCTCACAGCGGCATCTCCTGCCCTCTGTGGAAAGGGCACCGATGACATAGTTTTCAGAGCACATCATGGGATGGCTGTTCCCGACGATTTAAATGTGGGATTCCTTCTTCTCTGCCATTCCCCTTTGCGTAACGACCCCCTTATTTCCTGCAGGATGCCACTTCCTCCAGCCCAGCCCAGCCTGAGATAATAGTTGTCCCTCTCTACCTGGTTAACACTGACAGAGGGCAAGAAGCCACTGCCAGACCTCCAGCACCTTTGGGGCCGACTGGCCATGCCCCCACATTCCCGGCGACCACCCCTGCCGGCTCGCCTCTGACCCTGCCGACACTAGATGATTTCATTCCCCCTCATCTGCAGAGGCGGCCCCACCACAGCCAGCCTGCCAGTGCTCCTGGCTCCTTGCCCCCCATTAGCCAGACTTCACCATCCTTCTCACCACCACCTCCACTGGTCCCCCCCATCCCGGAGGACCTCCACAGAGTCTTGGAGCCTGACCTCACAGGAGCTGTCTCAAGTACCGTAAGCTTGCCGGAATCCCACCCCCACCCTACCCCACCCCACCTCTCCTCTCCTCTCCTCTCCCAGTTTTCCTGAATGACTACTCCCTGCAGGAGGATCCTGCCCCCTTTCTCACTGGAATACTAAGCCCCTGAGGAACTGAGCGTTGGCTGTGTGCTTTCGCCCGAGTGCATGCCACCCACGTGTGTGCCCTGGATCTCACGGAGCCCTGGGGTGCCTATCCTCCTCTGTCCTATCTGGAATGCACCTCTTCCTGAAAGAACCTTTTCCCTCGGAGAGAACGGCACCTGCTGCATTGACATCAGCGATGAAGCAACACATAAAGATAAGCAAGACAGGTGCAGCTCAGGAAAGCTGAGGATTTAGGGGGAAAAGTCCGTGGCAGATGTGGGGCTGAATAGCAAGCGTCTCTCCAGCAGAGGAGGTGGTTGTAGCGGGGGGAGAAATTCAGCTCTGTCATTGATTTAACCAGGAAGCATGCCTGCCCCCTCTTATATACAGAGATGACAGGAAACAGAACCAGGAGAGAGCTGGGTTTCATGTAGCCAATGGATAGGGACGCCTTATACAAATGCTAGGACTGCTTCCTCCGAAGGCAGGGAATTGCTGGATGCCACTGCCCACTCGGGGAGGCACAGGGCTCTGAGAGCTCAGGTCTCATCCTGTGGGAGAAGAGCCCTGTCACAGGTGAGGAAGCCTAGCTTGTCACAGAGGAAAAAGCTGAGTCCAAGAACTTAGGTCTGTTCTCCTCCCCTTGGGAGCCCTGGGACTTACCCAGAACCTCAGTGACCGTGATACGGCGGGAGTCTGTGGGTGTGTTCGCAGGGCTGTGACGTTCAGTGGGGCCAGGCATGCCTGGCATCGAGCAAGTGCCCAATGAGTATTGGCTGCTGTGGTGGGGAGTGAAGAGGGTACATTACTGAGGACCTGCCATACTAAGTGGGTGGTCAAAGCCACTCAAAAGTAAGTAAGTGGCTTGTTATCAGTCCCTGAGCTCCTGTCATGTTCTGGGCTCTGCTTGGTGTGCTAGGTATGACTGGGCAGGTCAAAGGATTTTTTTTAAAGGTCAGGGTAGGTTCTCAAGCTTAGAGTGCTTGGGAGTCACCGGAGGGGCAGAAAAGTTAGTTATTGATCCCTGCGTCATGGGCTCAGAGTCTCCGATGGAGTGGATCTGATAGGGAGACTTGGAACTCTGACCGAGTGAATGGTCACTCTGGGAGATTCTGATGCTGAATGGTCTACAGAACACACTTTGAGAAATAGTGGTCTAGTGGTTGGGTAACTGTGTGATGGTAGTAAACATTCGCTGGGATCCCTTCGAGTAAAGGGAAACCAAGCCAAACCCACTGTCAGCGAGACTCGCCTAATAAAACGGGCCCCAGTAGCTCGTTAAACTAATGCTGGTCATTCACAAAGCGGGAAGGAACCTTCCTGTTAGAGAAGTTGCAGGAGGCATCAGGCAAGCCAGAGCTGGGAGCTGCTGTGTCCTGGGAACTGGCCTCTTCTCAGATTTCTAGATGTGCCCACCCTAGTGTTAAGTCAGCACGAGCTAGACATGGCTCAACACTGTTGGCTGCTTCTCTGCTGCACTGGCTTCTACCAGCATCTCCTTCACCTCAAGCTCCACGTGAGGGTGAATTTGGAAGCCTGGTGTTGTTTTTGAAAAGTGCGGATGTCTTTGCTTTGGGCACAGAAAGTGAGTCTTGGCCCTCGTCTGCCGCCGTGAGATCTGTTGTGCACCTGCAGTGCAGCATTTGCTTAGATCTAGGTTTGCATGTCCAGGTTCTTACAGGTGTTCCTGTAGCAGTGCCAAGACCGTTTCCAAAGTTTCTGCATCCATCCTGGTATAGATATATCTCGGGGGAGACTTAAAATTACCCAGTGACTTCCAGATCAACCCCCAGTAGTAGAGAAGGAGGTGAAAGAGGAACCTGTTGGGGTTCCTCTGTTGAATGAGAATCATCGGAGAATGAGCCCCAGTGGATGAGTCAGTCCCTGGGCCTGCAGCGCGCTGAGAGTCGGAAGGAGGAACGGGAGTCCTGTTGATTGGTCTGGGTTCTCTTCAGCAGTAGCCCTTTTTATGGCGCTCCAACAAAGCACACGCTGTAGCAGGAAACATTGCACATGCCCCTCAGTCCACTCAGACATTGTAGACATGTATCCTTCATAGCACCATATGCCTGGTGTGTGGTGGTTTGGGGTGTTACATTACAGCAGTTGCCATCGGTATGTCACTTACCATTATTATGCCACCTTGGAAGTCAATTAGGAAGGGTAGTTGTTTTCCACTAACAAATGAACTGGAGAAGAGGTACTTTGGACAAGGTTACACTGAGCCCCTCAAGTCTTGGGGAAAGATCGTATTTAGTCAGTGGAGCTGCCCCTCTTAACAGTTGGGGCTATTTATGGAACCTTCCACAGGGGTGGACTGACCAAGCCAGAATTTACAAAGCCCCTAGTGGGTGTCAGGAACTGTCCCCAGAGCTGACGCTCATGCCATCATGGGCACATGTTCTCTGGGCAAAAGTTCCTGAGAAACCCCTTTGCTGGCAGACAGTCCCATCATTCAGGTGGCATTTATTAAGTACCTGCTGTTGGCAGAGGGTAGAGCTGGAATGGGGAAGAGCAAGAGAAAGAGGAGAGGGTCTTGGTGCTTGTCTCTGGGGGTCCCCAGAGAAGGGATCAACATCCAACCTGTTGCTATCAAGTAGATTCCCCTGTGTGCCAGTCGAGCTGTGGGCTTTCCGTGATGGGTTTTTCAGAAGTAGATCACTAAGTCTTTTTTCCAAGGGCCCGTGGTTGGCTCGAACAGCCAACTTTTGGTTAGTAGCTGAGCCCGCACCGTCCAGGGACTCTGCTTACATAGTAGAGTTGGGCTTGGTCAGTGCGTCTCTAGTGGGCCATCATGGATGATGGCTCTAAAACATCTTGGTCTTCAACGCCTTTGAGAATGAGGTGCCTTCTGGTTTTCTCCCCCAAACTCACTGTCATCGAGTCAGCTCTGACCCCCGGGCAGGGTAGAACTGCCTCTGTGGGTTTCCCAAGGCTGTAACGCTCTACTGGAGTAGAGAGCCTCGTCTTTCTCCCTGGCTTTAGAACCCGAGCATTCCAGCATGGAACGTTAACAGCATGACTAGATACACTGGAAACACGGGCCTGAGTATCCTGGTTACAGTGCCGGGCTCTCGTTTTCGCTCGTTGACCAAAACTGTATTCCAGCCATTGCACGTTAGCCTCGGGGTTAATCATTTTACTGGTCCGTCTGATGGTGACCTCGGGTTTTTCAAATCCGGGTTTTCACCAGGGCATCTTTCACGGGGATCTTGGTCATTCCAGTATGGAGTGAGAGACATCACCTCAGGCCAGGGCCATAGCCAGGTCCCGGAAGCACGCTTTGTGTGAACTTGTTCAGTGACGTGAAGCCGAGCTGCTTCCTGAGAGCACACTCCTCGCTGGTCACTGCTGTCATTTTGCCCTCACTCTCTCTCAAGTTTCTCCACACCACGCGCATGAAACTGACCCCTTCCAGCCGGCTCTTGTTCCTGGCTCACTTCTGGAATTGCATGAGTTGTGCATGTTGTTCGAATTGGATCTGAACTGGCTTTTTCTCCTAACTGGGCTGACCCGCGATGATGGCCGGGCAGGGATAATGACGGATATTACTGAGCCCCTCAGTAACATTCACTTTCCCTCTCCCTCCCCTCACTAATACCAAGAAAGAGAATGAGTCTCCCAGATTAAACTTCTAACTGGAATTAATGATGTGTCTCCTTGTTTACATTTCTTTTTTAGAATGAGGTGGTTTTAAGCTTTCCATTTCTCCCTCTCAGACAGTATTAACTCCAGGTTCCGTGTGTTTACAGCTTGTGACAGCGTGTGCTTTCTTTCCAGGGCTCAAGTCCTCTATTAAATGAAGCTTCCTCCCCCCGCATCGGAACGGATGCCCAGCCCTTGACACCGGTCAGCAAGCCATCCTCTGCCTACCCCTCCACCACCATCGTCAACCCGACCATTGTGCTCTTGCAGCACAATCGAGGTGAGGGAGCTTCACGTGCATCCCAGTCCTCCGCTCATTGGGATCAGCAGAGCGCTCCTTTGACCAGAAGTCTGCCCTCCATGGACAAGTTCAGCAGTCCAGAGCTTCCCTGAGGCCCTCTGCACCTGGTTCTCTTCATTCCCAGGTGCTATAGATTACGTTACAGGGATTGGCAGAGGGCTTGTCCACGGGGTGACTTCAGGTAGAGCTCTTGGGTGGCATAGACAGTTGGTTAAGCACCAGCTTTACAAGCCAAAAGGTTGGTGGTTCAGATCCACCCAGACACACTTTGGAAGTAAGGTTGAACAGTCTGTTTCCAGAAGGTCATTGTCTTGACGGCCCCATAGCGTGTAGCTCTACTCTGTATCCTCAGGGTTACCTTGAGTGGAAAGGTAAGTAAGGTAAGAGTTGTGCGAATTGCTTGTATACCTCAGGTGTAAATTGAGAGTCGTGCACATTGCTTTTATACCTTAGGTGTGTACGTTGGTCATTTTCAGCTGGTAAGACCACACATTGGTCGAGAGAAGGGTTAAAGTCTGTACCTTGTAATTCCTTGTCATGGGAATTCTAATTAGAGGCTTTGCATGGAAGACCTAGCTACCCTAAGACCTCTTTGACGTAAGGTCATAAGCGCGTTAGTTCTTTGACACCATGAATTATCTAGGAGACCTAGCAATCCCCTTAAGGACCAAAAATTTTGTTCTTACAGATTTTTTTTTTGGTAGAAAAATGCATACAATACAAAATATTTTTTTCTGCTCTAAAACAGAGGGCGTTGAACTTTTTTCATCATTTATTGACAATCCTTCTTGCCCCGAGCCCCTTGGGGACAGGGAATTTATGTGACCTTCTACTGGTACAAGGAGCTTGGTAGCACTGCAGGCTACGCGTTGGGCTGCTAACCAGCCAAGTTGTTGGTTCAAGCTCCACTGTCTCCCTGTGGGAGAAAGACGAGGCTCGTATAAAGCTGTACAGCCTCAGAAACGCTATAGGATTGCTGTGAGTCGGAACCGACTCCCTGGCTGGGTTGCGTTTCGAGGCTGCTCCTCTGCGTGGCCGTAGACGACTCAGCTTTGAGCTTTTGAGTGTGTTGCTCTGTTTCTTTCTCTTACTGGGTCCAGTGGGTCATTTTCCTCACTAAAGGATATTGGGACTAGGCAAAGCAGAAGTGTTCCGAGGTAATAGTTGTATGTGTCTGACCCTTCTGCTTCACAATTCCAGTGCATGAGACTCAATCCAGAGTTTTGCATTTTGGAATCCCACCGAGGGATAAAGCCATCTGCTGTGTGAACCAATACCAACTTCAAGCTGCTTCCTAGGGTAGAAAGGGTGTTTGAATTTGAACTCCGAAGAACTGTAGAGGTGCACGTTGCTCAGAGCTCAGCACTGGGCACCACATCTTCCTCTTCTTGCCTCTCCGCTTGCCTGCTTCTTAGCTGCCCTCCCCAACCTCGGCCTCCCTCTGCATTAGCTCGGCTGAGAATGAGACTGGAGTCTATTTTTAATTGTCTTCTGTTGCCGGCTCCTCACTCGAAGAGTGGCTGAATGGAGCATTTTCTCCCTCTCTCACTCAGAAGCTTCCCACTCAGATGTTCATTCTGGTGGTGCGTCTCTGCCTCTGCCCTCTCTGCACGGCCCCACGTTCCTCAGGCGATCCCAAGGGCCCAACCCTCACACTGCGCTATGCAAGACCCTATTCTTCTCCATCCAGCCCGGCCCTGCCCCTTACCAGCAGGGGCGCTCTCGATCCAGAAAGGGTCTGTAATCCAGGACTGAGTGCGTGTGGGGTTCTCTGTGAACCTCTTTGTGACTCATCCTTTTAAAATACCAAACAGAAGCAAGTGAGTTCCCAGAAAGAAAAGCCGTTTCTTTAAAGGGGGTGGGGGGGGGCTTATTCCCCAGGCAACCCGGTTCTTGGGAACGCCAAGTCTAATGTCAGCTGCTTCTCCGAGTTCCTCTCTGGGGGCAGCTGGTGAGACAGCTTCGGCCGCAGGCGTGACTCCAGTTCTTGCTTCTCCTTAGGACCCATGACTCCTCGTGTTTTTCCAAATATTCTTTGACTCTTGCCTTTTCTCTCTTATCTGAGCTCTGCCCTTGGGTGTGAAGGTCAGAATTTCGGGAGGAGATAGATAACACACCTTTCAGAAAAGATAGAACCTCCTCTCTGGGGGACGGACAACAGAAAAGTGGGTCAAGGGAGACATCGGGCAGTGTAAGATATGACAAAATAATAATTTATAAATTATCAAGGGCTCATGAGGGAGGGTGGATTGGGGAGGGAGAGGGAAAAAATGAGCTGATACCAAGGGCTCAAGTAGAAAGCAAATATTTTGAGAATGATGAGGGCAACAAATGTGCTTGGCACAATGGATGGATGTGTGGATTGTGATAAGAGTTGTACGAGCCCCCAATAAAGTGGTTTCAAAAAAAAGAAATGAATGATGAAGGCATATAATATATTTTTAAAAATTAAAAATAAAGGAATAGAAGCAATAGCCATCATGATAGAACCATGGCTGTCAATCAGGCCCCAGTCATGTCAGGCTGTCAATCAGGCCGCTATGTCAGAGTAGAACTGTGCTCCGTCGGGTTTTCAGTGACTGATGTCTTTTTTTTGGAAGAAGATTTCCCAGGTCTTTTTCCTAAGGCACCCCTGGGTGGGCTCCAACCTCCAACCCATTGGATGGCAGCTGAGCACGCTCACTGCATGTATTGTCCTGTGGCTCCGGTGAAATGGCAGCATTCCGTAAAGGGCACCCGGACAACATTGGGTCCAGTACCTCAACAGGTCAGGCCTGGCTGGGGGGAACTCATCAGCCACCAACAACCGTCAAGAACGAGTCTGCTTAACTGAGGAGGTGGGGCAGGAAGCGCCCAGGGGCTGGGCAGCTGCCTAGCGTTGTGTTACTAATTGTATATGGGGTTGAGGTCAAGCGTGTTTTGGGCCTCTTTTTGTAATGTACCCTATTTCGCAGTCCTGCCTTGCCTCATAGACGGTACCCGTAACAACAATTTCTTAACGATCGCAAAGTCTCCTGAGGGAAGAATAACTTGACCCCACTGCTGGGATCCTGGTGGAGTCCTTCCTAAAAAGGTGCCTCACGTTCCCTGCCACCCCCGCCCAGCTCACACTGTCCCAGGGCACAGTGTGACAATGCATATGCCTCTCCAAGCCCAGCTTCCTCCTACTTTTAAACAAACAGGGGCACCAAGCCCTTGTCTGGCCCCATCCGTTGGAACAACATAGACCCTAGCCCAGTGGTTCTGAACCTCACTAATGTGGAGACCCTTTCATACAGTTCCTCATGTAGCGGTGACCCCCAACCATAACATTATTTTCGTTGCTACTTCCTAACTGTAATTTTGCTACTGTTATGAATCGGGTGACCCCTGTGAAAGGGTCATTTAACCCCCAAAGGGGTTGAGACCCACAGGTTGAGAACTGCTGCACCTAGCCCATTTCCCGAGCTGTCCCATGCCACGTATTTGAGAGTAAATCACATGTGGCCAGTATGAGAAGATTTGAATCAGAAAACTAGGGACTCAGAGAGGCCTGCGGGTCCCCTTTTCAGATGGTCTCGATCTTCAGTGTGCACTGATCACTGACGCTCTTGGATTTCGGGAGTCTGGTGAAGCTGGGGAGCTGATACTCTACATTTTCAACAAGCAAGTGATTACCACGAGCTTACAGGGCAAGAGTGTCTGCTGACTCATGGAGGTCAAGAGCTTAACAGTTCCCAGCCGTGGCTTTTGGGGTCTAGTCTGGACACCAGCCTAGGGTGGTCAGCTCCTAACTCAGCTAAACAACACTGCTGGGAGACTATTGCTACTCTCCAGCAGAACCTTTTGTTCACCCCACGAAAGAAAAGGCCATCCACGCCTCCCGAGTGTGAAGCTCCTCCTCTCCTTCTAAGTGGAATACATTTGCTTCCGTCAGCTGAGAAAGCCCGCTGCCGAGTTTGGGAGCCATAGGTTTAGTCGAGCGCCTTGATTTAAACTGAGGCTGAGTGGGTAGGGGTTGACGTCGTGCCATCTGGCCCCCGTTGGTGACAGAGCTGGTGCCCAGATGCATGGTCCATCTGCACATCAGGGGTTGGATGGACACTGCTTCTGCGAGCTGCGAGTGCCCATGGCCACTCTGTTTACCTCTTGTCCGTACTGCTTGTGGTAGGAGATTGGGGACCCAGCCAATGGAGGCGTGCTTTAATGACAGAGCACCCTTGGGCTGGCAAGAAGTCTATTTTTATCTACGTGCCTACTTTATATTTAGCTGGGGAAGGTAAAGGTCATTTTGGGGGTGCATTTCCCATAGCACGTACACACAGGACTATGAGTGCCCAGAAGAGAGAGGGAGAGTGTGAGTGTGAGAGCGAGTGGGCGAGTGATAGGCCAGCAGAGCATGTCTTTAGTGACCAAGAACACTGGACCAGCAATGGACGGACCCAGGTTTTAGATTGTGTCATCTTGGGTCATCGGTGCCCCTTACCTGAGGCCTCTCAACCAACATGGACTTGTTAAAATGTCCCCTGTATCCCGACCAGCCAATTGATATAATGATTAAGAGCATGATGTTGAGCAAACTTGTGAACTTTTCGATGCCTCAGTTTCTCCATCGGTACAGTGGGGAGAATTGGCAGCCTGCCAGAGTTGTTGTGACCATTACAACAGTGCCCTAGTTATCGTTCCAGCTACATTTCTCCCTAAAGGTACCAAGACTGAGTGAGGTAGGCAGTCGAAGGTCCTGCTTACTTGAAAGCAAGACTGTAGAGTGGGTTTGGGAGGAGCGGTGCACGGCTAGAAAACAGTGCCCACCACCTCTCCTGGCACACAACCTAAGGGGTCCATGTCCAGGTAACGGGGGCCATGGTAACACTCTGCAGTCAGCTGGGCCACACGTCCTTGTGGCATCTAAGCCCAGAGGAGAATGGGGACACGGTGTTTGGGATCTTGATGAGCCATGCTGGGACACCTTGGTCTCACCCTGTACTGTGTGTCACTTACACGATCTTCTCTTCTTTTGTCACAGAACAGCAAAAGCGACTCAGTAGTCTCTCAGGTAGGTGGAAAATATCTGTTGGTATGTTTACCCTTTTCTGATGAAGCCCTTCTCTGGCCACCACTGAATGCTCAGTGTGTCAAGTGTCACAATGGGGCTTGCCGTGGCTCCAGGGTGGCTGGAAACAGGCATGGGTTAGCCTCTTGCCTGTAGCCTGGCGGGCACAGACCAGACAAGACCACCAAGCTAGTAACTCTGCCCCGTGGAACTGTGGTAAGTGCCTGGCTAGATACAACCAGAATATTCCACATAAAACCAACAGGGAGCTATGCTTTTGATGGCGCGTCCACGGCAGGCCTCTCTGCTCCTTTGGCTCTCTCCTGGGACGTTGTGACAAGTCCAGAGTTGGGAAGTGTGGGCAGGTTCTTCCCATTTCAGTTCGGAGTAAATGCCAGCAGATGGCCTCAGGTGAGGGCCCAGGTAGAGCCTCCAGACCAGCAGTGTTTGGAGCAGAGTCCTGGAGAAGCGCACGTTGCTCGTCCTGGAGGGAGTGTGCATGCCCCGGAGAACCTGTCACTGCAGAGCCGAGCCAGACTCCAGGTCTTCGGATTCAATAGGCCTGGGCCCGAAAGTGCACTTCCAACCAGGTGGTGCTGATGCCACCCTCTGGGCTGCCCACACTCGGCGGAGCAGGTGGTTCATCAAGAGCCAAACATGATGGGGGTGAGGGGGATGGTAACTGCAAATATCAGGTGTCAGGACTCACTCCTTGGCAGCGCAGCTGGGACAGTGTTGGGGCAGAAGCATCTTGGCTGAAATTAGGAGCATTCTCCCCAGTGGGAATCTTGCACCTCTCCCTCAGGGCTTCGTGTACGCACTGCCCTTTGAGCCCTGGTTCTACCACCTACTCAGCAGAGCATCCCCCACCATCGGGCTTCACTGTTCTAGCCCGTCAAAGGTGGGGCGTGACTATGCCTGTCTCCCAGGTGGTGGTGAAGTTCAGAGGAGAATCAGCTTAGAAATACCTGAGTGTCTGCCTTCGGCCCTCGCTCGGTGCCTGACAGATGTGAGTGTCCCTTCTCAGTGGGTGCCACCACAGCCTCGCTCCCCCGTGACGTTACTGAGCTCATGCTTGGTGTCTGGATGGAGCCGGGCTCTGGGGCTTCATCGGGGAGCCCTTGCACCCCAGCCCTCAAGCCCCTTACCCTGAGGCATGGCAGCTGGTCACCTTCCCTTGGTCACTCACGGTCACCTCTGAAGAACGAGATGTGAGCAGTAAACCATTCTCCAGCCAAAACCACCCTCGTACCCACACATGCACTGGACTTCCCTGGGCCTGTGGGTCCCGGGAGCTCCAGGTTGAGAACTCCTGATCTGGTGGATACTGAAAGCCACCGTTTTCTGAGCAGCTGTGCCCTGGTGAGTTCTGTGTGACTTCCTCCTCTGCTGTCCCCGTGATGTGTGGAGAGGCTGGATGGGGGTGGACATGGGGTTGTCACACCCTCTCCGCTTTATCAGGACTTGGCCTCAGGACGAGGACAGGTTGTGCTTGAACTCAAGGTGCCCTTCGCTGTCCCCTCCTTGAACTGCCACCCTCCAGCCCACTTCATTCCCTGGCCCCAGGCCAGGCTCCTGAGTTGAGAACAGAGCGGCTCCTGTGTGCTCCCTCCGCTGTGGAGCGTGTGGAAGGAGGGCTCCGACCTTGAGCTAGGAGAGCCGGGGTTTGTCTCCATCCTCTTCTAGCTGTTATCTGCCTCTGGGGAACCTGCCTCCTTCACCTCTTTGACCGGAGCCTCCTTACGAGGGGACAAGGGGAGGTAATCCTCAACTGGGCCTCAGAGATGTTTGTAAGCACCACCTGTGGGGGACAGGAGGGGAGAGGGCCTTGCAAATGGTAAAGTGCTGTGTAAATGTGAGGCTTTCACCGAAATGTCGACAGGCCAGAGGTCATTCTCAGCTCTAAAATAAGCTGGATGCAATCACCCTCCTTGGGCTCCGGGGTAGATCTAGTAGTGGTATTTGAGAGACTGGTGCTCCGTTAGGATTAAAAGGAAAAGGCGCCCTTAGATGCCTCTGTAGGTTCTGAAGGAGAGGCCTGCTACTCTCCATCCCTGAGCCTTGGGGGGAGCCGGGCTATGCCCAGTGCCTCTGTGGTGATGAGCTTCACTGGGGCCACCAGGCAGCCTTCCTCCTGTTAACAGGTATCTCGATGCTCCGCCCTCTGTGAACGAGACCTCGTGAAGCTCACAGCACACTTGTTTGTGTGAAAACAAGATAGAGGCTAGGACAGTGGGCAGAGGGTGGCAGGGGCCAGGCCACCCTTCCCTGAGGGCAAAGTAAGCTTGGGGGGTAAAGAGATGCTTTCCTTGAGAAGATTTCTCTCATCTCACCTGGTGCCCACGCTTGTTCCTGGTTGGTCTGTGTTTCACCTGTGTCAGCGCCTAACTTCCTGAAGTTCTCTGGGTTCCCAGGGCCCCTTGCTGTACATTCCTGGTCCATTGCCCGTCACTCAGTTAATTTCTGGGCGATTCAGTTTTGCTTTTCCATCTGTGATGATGGGCATCCCTCAGTGCATGACTTCAGCACTTCCCTTGACCTTGAAGCATCTCACTGCCACCTCAAAGTTACCATGGTCCAAAAAGAAGTGGTGCTTTCTCTCTTCCTCTCCCAGCTCTTTCCTAATGTCCCTGCTTGGGTCAGAACCCAGGGTGCCATCTTTGAGGGAAGCAAGATGGTACAGGATGGATGAGGGGAGCCCCTCGGGAGTCTGGGCACTTTCCCATGGCTCATCTGTTGCCACGTTGAAGTTCAGTGCTTGTCATTATGACCTGCTTAGGAACCAGCTGGGAATCTTGTTAACATGCAGATTCTGACTTTGTGGGTCTGGGTGGGGACACTGCCTACCAGTTGCTGCTGGTGTTGCTAGTTGGGAACTAGGAAAGCTACAGAGCCAACTTGTCAGAAGCCAGCAGTTCAATTCTGTACAGACACACACACACAGACTCACACACACTTCCTTGCCGCCATATTTAAAGCCATGTCATGATCCCTTCCTTCCTTTATAAATTCTGCCTGCAAGTTACTTCCACTTTGACTGCCCAAACTGTGCTCCTCCACGTACGTTTCTCCACATTTTGATCATTGAAGATGGTTAGAGAAAGCCACAGTTGAGTAGATTCGCATCCTTTACATAAAGTCCTCTGGTTCTCAGCTCCCTGCTGGTGTCTGATCAACGTTCTGGAGATCAACAGCGTTTTATTTGTTTTAAAGAACCCCATAGCTTTGCAGGCCATATGGCTACAGTCTGGGTCTTAACCATTCAACCCAACCAAGGCCATGGCCGTCAAAAGAACCCCTAACAGTCCATCAGGGTGTGAGTGGGTGTGGCTGGTTTTCCCAAGAAAACTTGATTTACTGAAACACACCCTAATTACTCCCATCCCACTGCGCCCCACACATGTGCCGACCCCTGCGCCGGTTGTGAGCAGTTCCAGTTGAGAATTTGCAAAGACGGGTTCCCCCGCTTAGAATGTTCATTTTGCTTTGAGGGTCCAAGAAGAGCGCCCACTAATGCGGTCTTTGTTTCCAGATTCTGGCCCAGAACGAAGAGTAGAAGAACAGAGCTTGGCGCCCACCCAGGAAAAACCCACCTCACTGGGCAGGGCTTCTGAAAGAAAGGCCCAGGATGGCGCCCGGCGTATAGTGAGGAGTGCTCAGGACCTGCGCGATGCGCCCGTGGATGAAGTGGGCCTCCCGCTCCGGGTACGACGCCTGACAGAGTGCTCTGCGGCAGCATCCCCCAAAGCCCATTTAAGTATATCGCTGAGGGCAGGTGCAGGCCACCTGCAGGTTACAGAGGCCCCACAGGAAGGACCCCACCACAACCACTGTCCCAGCCCCTGAGCTCACACTGGTCCAGAGCTCCTTGCTCAGTGGCTCTTCCCGAGCTTGAGGTGTGCTGAGTCTTGAAGAGGAAGGTGCTCTGTTTGGTGGCCTTCCTCTGTTCTGCGGAGCACGTGTGGAGATTGTTGGTCCCTGGTTACGTGTAGACAACCCCGGGGGGAGTGGACAGGGCCCTGATGGCTCCGTGGTGAAGCCATGGAATACTAAGTGGAAGGCCAGTGGTTTGCACCCTCCACACATGCTTGGGAGAGCAATGTGGTGCCGTCCTGTTCAGACGTACAGCCTTGGCAGCCCAGCTCCATCCTGTGGAGTCCCAGGGAGCGGGAATGGGCTCACTGGCAATGGGTTTGGTTTGGGGGAAGGGGAGAGAGTCTCTGAATACAGGTTCAGGAAGAATATCCCTTGATTGGAGACTTCCTGTCATTCTGAGAGAATAGGAAACAATAAAGGAGCCAGAGCAGGGTCCCTCTGCCTAGACCCCCCGGAGCAGAAGGGCTCAGGGCAGCCCAGGCCCTACGGCTTCCACCGAAGGCTGACTTGTGAAACTAGGTTAAGGCCAATTCCACTCCTCCCCGTGTGCTGCTGGTGACTGCAATGTATTCTTCTGTAATTCCCATTTAGACAAATGGGACTGTCCTTTGTGCCCCTTAGAAGGAAGCACATTAACCCGTAGAACAGCGGGCTAAGCCCCAATGGGCCTGTTCTCTGGTCCTCGGTGAGAGACAGACAGACAGAGAGAATATGAATGAGAATTACTACAAATAATACTACCAGATTCCCATTGTTCCTGACACGATCTCATTTCAACATCGCTCCCCCTACAAGCTGGGTCCTAGTTTGGTTCCCATTGAGTAGCCATGGAAGCAGACTGGAGACTCGTTCCCTTGCCCAAGATCATAGTGCAAGTAGGTGACAGAACTGTGTAACCAGACCCAAGGCCTAACCCTGTGTCAGCTACCCTCCCGCTCACCTTTTCACTAGCTCTGTGATGTATTAGACAGGGAGCCTTGGTGGTCCTGAGGGGGAAGGTGTTAGGTGACTAACTAAATGGTCAACAGTTCAAACCCACCCAAAGATAAGGCTGGCTACTCCTGTTAAGATCTTACAGTCTTGGAAACCCCATAATGGAATCGCTAAGAGTCGGTCGGAATCTACTTAAGGGCAGTGGGCTTGCGGCTTGGAGATGACCATGAGCAACTCCCTTGGGCTTTCTTTATCTCCACTTTTTTTGTCTGTAAAGTGGGAGTGAAAATATCTGATCTAACCACCTACCTGTCCCCTTCCCAGGTTTATTTTTAACTTAAAAAAAACCAAAGCCTTTGTGAGGATGAATATACCCTGCCATTGGCTGCTGTAATGGGCTGTGATTTAGTATATGCATTCTAAATCCAGCACGGGACCTAGCTATCCTTCTGCAGAGTCACCTGGATGTGGTAGAGGCCGGGCTTAACGCGCACATGCTTCGTCTCTTCACTTCAGTCCAGTGTAGTCGCCATGGAGACAGATCCTCTCTAAAAGAGGGAAAATATTTACTATCTGGCCTTTTTAGAAAGTTCTATAAGAACGAACACGTTTCAAGTGAGTCCTTGCCTACTTTCTTCAAATTCTGCACCTTTCAGACCAAATCTTTTTCTGCGGATTCAGGTCTGAATGTCTTGGTCTGCTTGTCCTTTCTCCAAAGCTGTGCATCTCTTAAAAGATTCACATATGTAATGATGGCAACATAGGTACACATATTCTTGATACAATTGATGGCTGGATGGTTACAGGAGCTGTAAGAGCCCCCAATAAAAGGACCTTCTAATAATAATAAAAGATTCGTACATGGGGCCACAAAGCTGCACAGAGTGACAGGCCAGGTTTTGACTTGGGAGGCTGCTGCGCTCTCATTTGATTCTGAGCTTGCGATCCAAGAAGTTTTCACAGTGGCCTCGACTACCATTTTATTTTACTTTTTGCTTTTCTTTTTATCCAGAACACCGAAAGATCGAAGGACTGGTACAAGACTATGTTTAAACAGATCCACAAGCTCAACAGAGGTACTGATTTCATTTGTAGATGTGGTGCTGTGTGCTGTGCTGTGCTATTGTATGTCGACTGTTGAATGTTGGGGTGAGGGCTTCAATGCCAGAAGATGGGTCCTATGGCTGGACTGAATTAGGCAATGGCTGGCCTGTACCCAAATCTCATGGCTGTGGTCTGCCTGAGCCCAGCCACATGCCCTTAGAGCGAAGGCACGAGGAGGCCCTGGTGCATCTGCCTCCGATGCTGTCGCATGCATCTGTTTGTGCTCCAGCCCGGGGACATGACGGGTGCAACACCCACTTGCTTTCAGCTTAAGGTGCACCTCCGTGTGTCAGCCCACGGCTGCCTTGCGGGCAGAGCAAGATGAGGTAGCACTGAACTGGTTGTCAGGAACACTGGATCCTCTCCTGGATTCAGTCCCCAAGCACTCCTGCGTCCTTGGTCCAATCGTGTGCCTCTTCTTGCTTGTCCCACCGCCCTTACTCGAAGGAGTGTTGCCGGGCCCAAGGAGGAGTAAATCATGCCCAGGGAGTGAACTGCTTTGACGTCCTGGACATGCCTTGTGAAAGAAGAATGTGTGGTGTTACCTGTAAGGCAGCCGGAGTGTGAAATCATGTCTTCCCCAGCCGAGAGCCAGCAGTTGGCTGGTAGCCCTGCAAAGTCGGTCAAGAGCTGACACATCAGAGCCTGCTCAAGCTGGAATGGATGAGCTTTCAGATTGGGGGGGCCCTCTGGGCTGCCAGCAGGTGCCCTAGCATGGTAGCTGAACCCCAGGCCAGTATGCAAGCGGTCTAGGTCCTCAGCTCCCGCTCCCAGCTCTCCTCACCCCTGTGCTGCCAATCATCCGATAGGCAGGAATGGAGCTGCCCAGTGGGAGGTAGGTATCACTCCTCCCATGGACAGAGCATCCAGGCCTTCCCCGTGACCAAATCCAGTCTGGCTGCCTGGCACAGGTGACGCAGGAGGGCTCAGCCCAGGCATCCTACTGAAGCTGCAACTATCTGATTCTCTGATGCAGAGCTCAAGATTAAACCTTACGGGCAGCCCCCTCGCATACTTCCAGTGTGGAAGGCCATTTGAGAGGCCAAAGTCAACATCGTGTAGTCGGGAGATGAGCCCAGCCCTGGTGGTGATGCGAAAGACTGTGTCTCCTTGATCGGATGGGGTCACTTCCAGTGGTCCTGCCCTCAAGCCGCCGTCCTTTCCTGGCGCAGTCTGTGCCTCTTTCTCCTGGAGACCCAATTCTGGCTGCTCAAAGGCCGAGACTCCGGTGCCCATCTGCAGAATCCCTTGTTCTGCTGATGCGGGTCCTCTCATAGGTCATAGTTGCTAACGCCACTGCAGTTTCAGGTTCTAAGCAGCACTGCCTGCCCTACACATAGGCAGTGTTATTTGAAAGAATAATAGCAATTACCCACTTGCTTGCCCTGGCTCTAATATCCACAACACAAGCTTTGATTTTTAAAAATAAAATCATGTCCACGGTGGCGTTTTCATCACACACTATTTACTAGCATACTGATCTATTTCTTACCTTCAAGAAGTAGCAACTTGAAACGCTGGGCGCAGTGCTGCTTGCCTCTAGAGCCGGTAGACACACGTAATCCTTTATCCAAGAAGGAAGCGGATAATGTCTTTTTAGATGTGTCTCAGGCAAAAGGACTGGATTTTTGTTAGCAGTTTGATTTTTTTTTCCCCTCACGTCATTAGGGAAGCTCAGTATGTTAGAGAATTCCAGGACCTTGAACTGTATGTGGATTCCTCTTCGCTCATTCTCTCCATTTGTATCTTCCTCTGTTCTCTCTCCCAAACCTGCTCCTCTGCCCAGACATTCCTGAAGAAAACCCTTATTTCCCTACGTACAAATTCCCCGAACTTCCTGAAATCCGGCAAAATTCTCAAGGTACCATAAACTTAGACGGTCTATCTGTTGTCCTAGCCTTAAATTACTTCCTATAGTTCTGCTATAGGAATACGATTTGGCTTTTAGATTTTATTTTTGTAGTCTTTTTTTAAAAATTAAATTTTTCTTTTTGGTTAGTAAAAAGTTTTATTCCACTTATTTGCATGACGTGCTTCTATTAACTAACTAAATCCTTTCTAATGTATTAATCTGTTTTAAAGTGTGATGCCCGGGTGCTTTAATAACACTAAAGTAGGTCATCAGTCATTCAAAAGAGTTGATTTGGTATGTGTCAGTTCCTCCACTTCAAGGTGGATAGTTTCAAAACCCACTGCTTTTCTCTGCTACAGAGGACAGCCCTTACACTCCAACCTACCAGTTTCCTGAATCTACTCCTAGCCCCATATCTGAAGGTAACTAAAGGAAAATTGTGTGCCTCCCGCTGTGCTGGTAGTGTTGCTTTCTTTTTTCACCTGGGGGTTTTATCCTGGCTGCTAAGAGCTGCTCCCCAATCATTTGCTTCCCTCTACCCTTGTGTTCTGTGGTAGTGTCTCATTCCTCGCTGACTGCTGCACCAAAACCTATCCAGATGGTGTTTTTCTCCTGTTCCCTTAAGGTGTACGTGATTAATGGGGTACCCAGTGTGACTTCATTATACTGCTTTCAACGTTATGGGGCTCTGGGGGAAACTGTCCCTACCCAATTTTGGGAGATCACATTTGTCCATGGCTGGGCAGTTGTTCAGGGAAACGAGTCATTATGGCGTTTGAGCAGGAGAAGATGTACTTGCTCACAGAAATCGCTGGGATCCTGTGTGTACCACCGAGTCTCTTGGCATGGGCCTTCAGCGTTGATCTCCTTGGTAGGGATTTCTTCAAGTGGTATCTGAGTATACAATCAGTAATGGTAAGAAGTTATGTCTCTAAAGAAAAAAATTGAGGATTTTGGTGAAACTGGAAAACATTTCATGAGAGAGCCGAGTAAGAATTTTAACTTGCTGGGAGGAAGGCAGCCACATTTAGATCGAAGACATCTTTTTACGGGGCAAAAAAAAGGCCGAACTTTAAAATAATTATTCTCACCCCATGTCAAAGAAGGTTCTGATAGATGAGGGAAGGGCAATATTTTGAGGATTGCCCAGTCTTAGAGGATGCCCTGAACTCCCGCCATTTTGTTCCCTCCCTGGGGATCTTGAACACTGGTTGTGTACCATGAGCTGTCTGTGCCACCAAGCATGTTACCAGGAAGGAGGCATGACCCTTGTCCCCAAGGAGCTCCCATCTAGACAAGGTAACCACCATGGCAGATGATGTCCAGTGGTAGCACTTGCAGGAGCATGTGCCAAAAGGCCACGGAAACCTTGCTGGTACTAGTAGGTGCTCAGAATATCGGTGCATGAAGGGTTGTAACCACAGAGCCAGAGTTCTCGCCTTGGTCTGTCCCTCTTTTGGCCCTCTCTCTAATGAGCAGCTCAAACCCCTACACAGCCTTCCTCACCAGCCACCACACCTGGCAGCCCTGCTACCAGTAACATCTGCTCACTGGGCCCCATCAAGTCAGGTACAGGTTATGTGGCTTAGAGAAAACAAGTGGCAGGGGAAACAAAATACCCTTTTCTGTATTGTTTAGGAGCCAGGCTGACCATTAAAATGTTTAGACTGAAGAGAAGAAGAAATAGTCTTTGTTAAGTGGTAAAAGAAGGAAAATTAGGTTGGGCATAAAAAAGTGCATGATAACAAAGGTGAGTAGACTTAAACACCCAATTCTAAGACAGCTTCTTTGCTGGAGAGCTCTCAGAAGATTCCTTTTCTCCCCAAGCCCTGCCTGGTTGACAGGCAGACACATACCATTGGTTTCTTTTAACAAGGCGAAGACATTTTACAAATGTGACATTCGAGTTTGAGCTGATTTGTTTTCTTTATTTGTTAAGTTTTGAGAATTCTCTGGATTTGTGGCCGTATCTCGGATTCGGGGTTTTGATGTTGGTGAGCTCTCACAGGCCCTTGTGGGCTCTGTCCTGGGGGCTGCTCCAGCCCCACTGCCAGGGTCCTGGGCACTGGGGACATCTTTCTCAGCACGAGAAAGCTTTCTGGCTTTCAAAGAAGGGCATTCAAGATAGATTAGCAGGCTCCCCACGGTTGTTAATGAGCTTTGGATAAACAGACTGCTTTTCTGAGAGTGAGTCATGATTTCAGAGTCATCCCTGGGGAAGAGAAGATGATCGCTGGTGGTGTTTAATTCAGAACTGAAACTGGAATGACTTAGGACGAACATATCAGAAGTATAGCCTAAGAACTGCTGCCTCTGGTACAGGAAAGGCACCTCTAAGTATCTCAACTGGTTCTCCTAACTAGTGACATGTTGCTAGTCTGTTAAAGTTCATACTAGGTGAACAACCTTCCCTCTACCTCCCAGCAGCATTGCAAAATAAACTTCTGGCCAGACGTATAGAAGATACATAGGAATGATCATGTTTGGCTCAATGGTGCTTTGAAATGCGGGTGTGTATATGTGCATGTGTGTTTTTTTTAAAAAAGAACACTCTAGATGCCAGCACAGTGCAGTCACTTCTAATCACTTCACAGCCTTTTGAGATTGTTCTATGAGACAGGAGAGAGGTGATATAATTATACTTCGTTTCCTGAGACACTTGGAAGGAATTGAGGCCAGGGCATTGGGGGAGAGTAGAACGTGTTTGAATGGCTCTGTTGGGTACCCGTGGACTGCTAACCACGGGCTGTGTTTCAAACCCATCAGCCGCTCTGCGGAAGAAGCTGCATCATTCCGCTTTCATCAAGAATCACAGCCTTAGAAACCACATTGAGCATCTCCACTCTGTCCTTTAAGGTAGCTATAAATTGGAATGGACTTGAATCGAAATCGGCAGTGGGGTTTGTTCATTTGTTTTGTTTTGCTCTGTTTTAGGCCAGTGATATTTATACTTCTTTGTCTTTTTTTTTTAAATCATTTTATTGGGAGCTCTTACAACTCTTGTTACAAACCATACATCAATTGTATCCAACCTATTTATATATATATTCCATCGTTCTTTTCTAGACATTTACTTTCCATCGAGCCCTTGGGATCGGCTCCTCTTTTTTCCCCTCCCTG